TGACTCAAGTCTATTTGATTACTTTTTTATGCTAACACTACTAAATTATATAAGTATCAATACCGCCAGAGTCATCGAATCTCATATTTGAAACTACGATGAAATGTTGAATTTTTATATCAATGTTTATTTATTTATAATTGCTTGTATGATTTCAATAATTTTCATTCTATCGGTACCAATTTGGAAATTTTATATTTTGCTAATATCTTATATTTATATTGTTTAGCAATGAGTTGAAACCAGGGATGTAGTCAGAAAGGAAAATGTACCGTCCCTCACAATTTAAATTTTTTTTATATTGTCATTTCCGAAAATAGGGAGCATGGCGTGCCCCTTTTTAGCATATTAATATTTTATCATTAAACATTAAACTTTTATAAACAAAATGAGTAATATATTAATGTATATATATTTTCAATTTCAAAAACTAAATTTTTCCTATTTTAATTGGTTCTTAATAACAAAGATTCAATAGAATTAAGGAAATGACATCGCATCCATCTTGACAGTCCAGACCCTCTCATTTGTTATGGGAAAGAGCAAATTAAGCGACTTTGTTTTATATTAGCTCGATATGGCTCTCGTGATAAAGGCTTGAGGGAATATATTGATGACAATGAAGATAACAAATTCCCTGTGATTCAAAATTGTATTAACACAATTATTTACCTTATGAATGTCAATTTGATGGATTTGTATATATAAGTCTTATGATAAAACATATTCTCAGTTTAATAATAATAAACGTCAACAGGCCCCCTCTCTTTATAGCTATAAATATCCCCAAAACTCTTTAAATTCATAAATTAATTTTTTGCATCCATTTAAAAATTATAAAAACGTTTAAATTAACATATTTTAAAATTCAAGGTGCCGCCTTTTTTAAGATAAATCGACTTTCGTCATTCTATTTCCTCTTTGTTGTCATTTCTTGGAATTAGAAAATATAAATTTCTAGTTTGTATTTTTTTATGATTGTATTCATATTTGAGATAATATTCAAAATGTCGATATTTCAATTATTTTGGAATTTGAGGGGAGATATCTAGCGATGTAAATTCCAAGGGAGCTATAATTGGGTTTGGAGACACTTTATCAAGTGACACATTATCACAACGACACTATCACTCAGGCATTTGATAACGCGACACTTGAACGTGCGCCACTCATGATATGCTTGAAACTGAATTATATATATTTTAAAAGTTATATTTCGATAATATTTTTTAACTTTTCCGTTTAAATTTAGATATTTGAAAAAAATTTAAAGACGAACAGCTACGTATATTCATAGCCCTTCGCCTTAACTGTAATGCTGTAGTTCCCTTCATTTGCATCGATGTGGTCAGCCCATCGAGTCGAAATCTTACCATCTCTTGCACTGCTAGTTCTCCAGTGGATGACAAGCTCGTCATAAATCTTTCATTAACATTCTCCTAGCTGCTCTTAAAAAAGTTAATATTCCATCCATCCTCAAACCAGTGGGCCTTCAAATGAAAACGTCATAACCCGGTATATCCCTCATTCCCTGGACAAATCGTCACCCGCTTACTTGGGACGTGTCGATTTTGCAGCAACGTCAACCTCTCATTTTTTGCCATCGAAAAGGCAGAAATTCTTAAAAAACAAATACGCTGTCCTCACCACCAATCGTTACCAATACCTTAGGCATGTTCGGAAGTTAGGCCAGGATTTTACTTGATCCGATTTTTTAAGCATTCACTCTCCTCTAGTTTTTAAATATTTTTCTTAGTTCTTTTTTATGTTTTATTTTTTTTATATTTATATCTTTATTTGTTTTTTTTAAATATGTTGTATTCCATATTTAAATCAACGAAAAAAAGTCGATACTCAACCAGACCCCCTTCGATTTTTTTAAAAATTTGCATGTTGGTAGTATATACACTAACTAATAAAAATATAAAATTTTACTTTTCAAATCGCCTTACTTCATGAGATATGGCCATCTTTAGAAAGGTGGAAATTCCAAAATACTATATTTAATTTTAAATATCTCAAAAAGTAATTAAGCTAAAGACATGATTTAAATTTTATTAAATAGCTCTAGAATAGCTCTTTAACAAGACATAAAATTTATTTTATTGAAAAAAGTCTATTACCAAAAACCGGAAATGTCTATAAAATAAAAATTGCTCTTTATTCTCTTTTAAATTTTTTTTACAGATAGACATTATACTTCTTAATATTTGTACAAAATCCTAGATTGGGACGAGTACTGGGCCAAAAGTTATTACACTTTAAATATAAGTAGTAAGGCTTAAATCCTATATTATACCAAATATAGAGTAATTATTTTTTAAAAAAGTGGGCAATATATGTGAATAATAGCATTAAATCTAAAATCCTAAAAAATCTGATTATTTTGCATGAATTAAAATTTTATATTTTTACTACTACCATCATACAAATTTTTATAAAAATCGAAGGGGGTCGGGTTGAATCTTCAGTTGATTTGATATGGAACACAACATATATATCAGAGACCTGCAGGCCCGGCCCTAAACCCGGACCGGGCCTTATTAAATTTTTTAAATATACCCGGGCCGAGCCGGGCCTAAAAATTTTTTTTTAAAATATCTCCAGGCCGGGCCTAAGATTGTTAAACCCGGGCCCTCCTTAATATTTTTTATAAAAATTTTTACATTATGAGTTAATGGTTATAAGATTATATTATATTATAGTTATGATTAATATTGGGTCATGATTAACGCTATCTAACACCCACTAATCGATCTAATTATTAATTTCCTGCAAATTTATTCAAAGTATTAATAAATTTTTTTATAATTCATATCTAAATTTTTACAGCATATTTTACCAAAACATCTAATAAAGGTATATCTTAAATAAGCCCCAATATTCAAGTATTATTAATATATTTTTTTATAATTCATATCTAAATTTTTAGAATACATTTTACCAAAACAATCAAATAAAGGAATATCACTTCTTGAAGTTTGTAATACCTTTCAAAGCGAAAAAGGAGAAATAAAATTGATTTTACTTAATATAAAGCATTTTTTAATTGAAAAATTTGTTTTACACAAGTATCATTTTATTTCTCTTTTTCACTGTCCCAAATTCAAGCAATTATGTATGTTGTCAGAGACAGATCGCAAGATGACGGAAAACTATATAAAAGATTATATTAAATAACAAGAGGCTCAGGAAGTAAATGAAATACCATCGACCAGTCAAATTACGACTGTTGTTAAACAAACTGAATCGTTTTATGACAAATGGGGGGATGGTAATTCTGGTAATGTCAATACCCGATTATGAATATTATAATTACATAAATAAAAAAAATAGATGAAACATTTAAGGTGGATAATTTGTTAGAGTGGTGGGCGGCTCATCAAAGCGAATTTCCAATTTTAGCAAAATTGGCAAAACGGGTATTGGCAATTCCTGCTTCAAGTGCAAGCTGTGAGCGGAATTTTTTCACTACTGGGAGAATTCTTGAAGAAAGAAGAAGTAATCTTCAATCTGAAAAGGTAGATATGCTTCTCTTTCTTCATGATAATTTGTGAATTTTTAATATCTTTCTTGAGTATAGGGTTTCGTCAATCATGCTGGTTTTTTACTTTGCAAACTGTCAAATATTTATTGCATTTATTATATTTACCTTGAGTCATGAAAGTTTTTAATCCAACATTTTTCATTATTTTTTTTACAATATTATATAATACAATTATCTTCTTTTGTTAAAAATTTATATTATAAAATAAATTATATTAATATTGTGCAATTAGATTATATTTTCAAAATACTATTTATTATACATGCATTTTTTTAAATAGCGATTTATTTTATAAATTAAATACAATATATTATATTCTCAAATATTTTCCATTTTTATAAATTAAATATTAGTTTTATTTTTTTAAAATGCAATATAAAATATAGTATATGCTCAAAATATTATTACCATTTTTATGAATATTAGTTTTATTTTTATAAATGCAATATAAAATATAGTATATGCTCAAAATATCCACTTTTATAAATAACAGTTTTATAATTTTTATAAATTCAATATAATATTCTCAAAATATTAGCTTTTTACATGTATTTTTTAAATAATAAGCGATAATACTCGCTGAAAAATATGGTAAAATACCTCATAGGTGAATTTTTGTATATACCAGGTCGAATATAATTTTAAAAAATTCCGAGCCGGGCCTAAAAAATTTAAAACCGGGCCGGGCCGTGCAAATGGTACCTCTGCAGGTCTCTGATATATATAAACAAATGTTCATTTTTTTTTAACAAAAAGTATATTTTAACTATTAATAATCAGAATTTACCTTATTGTAATTTTTAATATTTTATTTGAAAATATAGGTTTAATAAAATTGCCTTTTTCTGAAAATTCTGAATTATTAACCTTTTACTTATTTTACTTTCAAATTATTTGTTTTAAGTAATATATTTTTGGGGGAATAGTGGGGTGAGGTATGTGTAGGGAGAGATTTTAACTTAAAATATTTACGGTGACTATAAATATTAAGATCTTAGATGCAATAATTAATCCAATTAACAAATAAATGTTTGAAATAGAAATGTTTATAAAATCGAAGACCAGACCTAAAAAATTTCAGTACCCCGGATAAATATTAATTAGAATAATTGTTCAAATCATCATTCATTATTCCATATCAAGGAATAAATTTTTTTATGCAAACATATTTAATTTCAATACGAGTATGACATATAATAAAATTTAAGAAAAAAAATATAAATACTTTTTATATGTGTGACTAAGAAAATTTTATCAAAATTTTGTTGGAAAGTAAAGTTTTATAAATTGTAAAAAAACATTAAGTATTGTTATGCACAATATAGTATATAATTTGAGCATTCGTTTTTAAAGCTGATTTCAATTACAAGTATAATTATATAAAATTATTTTCTGTACAATATTGAATATCAAAAATATAAACTTTTAAATATATCAAAGCATAAAAATGAGTCTATATTTTGACATTTTAACATTAAATACTGAAATAACCAATTGTATTAATATTTTAATTAACTATTTGTGTGTAAAATAGAGCCAATAAAAAAAACATTAATTATAATGAAATTATTTATTATCCTAAAATTTTTCTGTAATAGCTGTAAAGTTCTCTAGATTAATAAAAAAAATCCTCATTAGAATTAGATGTGCGTAATGTAACTCTCCGAATGCTTCAACGGGACAGAACCATTAGTATCTTCTGCTGATAAATGTTGCTTAGTACTGTCTCTTGCTTTAATAACCCTATGTTCATCATCATCTTCCTGATATAAAGAATCAATTTGTTTGGTGTACATTTTAACGACTATTGGTCTCCTTAACTTCATCGTAGGACCTACATTTGTTAATTCATTAATAAAAAGCTAGCTGATTTTTGGCATATAATTTCACTCATAAGATAATAATCAGAGATAAACCGATAGAAATATTTCTCACGATCTTGGTCAGACGTTACCGGAGGATACTTTCAATTTTAACCAATATTATGGACTTTGACCCTCTTTTCCCCGAAGCCAATGATAATTTATCCCCTACCCACTCCTACTCTCCTAGCCATATCAAATCAATATTAATGAAAGGAACTCAAATTAAAACACAACCCTTCTTGTCCTATTCATTTAAACGACGATCTTGCATCATATCCCCTCCCCCTTCCTTCGTGATAGAGATTATTGTTCCCTATATAATATCATAAGATTATTTTGTTATTTCATCAAAACAACAATCATATAAAAAGGTCTTCATAATTTAAAACCTAATTCTCCGCCAACGACACTGAAATCTTTTAGTATGAATGTCCATTTACGTACCATGGAAGCTCTACTTACGGCTTCATCGTTGACCTTTTTCAAAGCTAAGTTAATAACATCATGCAATTTGGCTGGTTTTTGTTCTATAATTTGTTTTACACTTTTGATATTGCTTCCCTCGCCTAGGATAGATGACAGCCAAGCTTGAGCGGGACGCGTTAAAGTGTCTGAAGGTGTATTAGTGGAGGAGTCAAGTTCAGTCTGATTTAAATTTGAATAAATAAATTATGTTTTTTCCAAATGTTTTGTTTTCTAAAGAGACTACTCGAAGTCAACTTCTATTATAGTTTAAAAAAAATGACAATAGTCACTTTATCGAAGCTGGAGATCATCATGATTAGACATTTTAATGTTATATATTCTATACTGATTACTTACATTTTGTAGTTATTTATATAATTTGCGTATTTATCAGGAAAATCATTATGATTTTTTTTACAATTAGCACCACAAATGACTGTCAAACATTATTGATACATTTTATAAATGAAACCTTTAAGGAAATTGGAGAAATTTTGAAAAAAAATTTTATTTAATCCTATGGGCGTTATTATCTAAAAATGAATAAAATAAATTTTTAAAAATTTGCGAGAATATTATATCTCTTACCTAAATTATTCATATTAGCTTACCCGGGGAAACAATAAAAAAACCATTATTAAACTGATAAGAAAAGAAGTAGAAGAATTCAAATAAAATTTTTGCGATTACTATTTTAAAAAATATTTAATTTTGTTTTAGAATTTAATGACATTATAATACTTATCTAAACTGACGATTTAATCTCCAAAATGCACCTTGAAGCGTCATGCTGGTGATACACCCTTTTTGGTTTCCCATATAAAATTCATCATATGTAAATGAAATTCTGATTTTTTAATATGGTCTAACTCAAGGAAATTGCCGTTATAACAGATTTATTTAAATTTCTATTCATCTACTTATAATTACAAGATTTGTCAGATTTGAAAAGTTATTAATAAAAAAGTTATAATTTTATTAAAAATCACGGACCCTAACCCATATCTTTCAAACCTTTAATTAATCTCCCATATCTCTTTAATCATACTCTTAACGTCAGATACTTGTTTAATGTTTATATTTCATTCAATTAAAAAAATGTCATTTAGTTGAACATTACTTGAGTTGAGCTATTATCATTATTTAAATGGAAAACAAAATGGCCTGTAACCAGCTGATTTGATGCACATTTAAAAGAATAAAGGTCCGTCTAATGATACGTCCTTGATTAAATCTTAACATAGTCATGAATTATTATTTTTTTTTAAAATTCTCTGATATATTTTTTAGGTATAAATTATATAAAATATTTTTCCCCAAAAGTTGGAAAATTATTTCTATTTGTTTTTTTTACAAATTGTTTGATAAAAACGTCATATAGTATCAACAATATTTTTTATTTTTTTACAAATTTCTCTACATGGCTACGTCCATCAACTAATAAATACCAAAACTCAATAACTAATTTCAGGGTCTCAATGTCCAAAAATTTTATTAAACAATTTTATGTGCATGATAATTAGAGACCTCATGATATTTATATGTAATAAAAATAATAAACAATTGCTTTAAAATAAATTAATTTGAAGTTTTAAAAATTCATTTTCATATCTTATAAAAAATAAATTTAAAATCCAGATGGGGTGGGGACGGGAGGATAGACGGTTTTTAATTGGACAGGATTTGGTAATCCTAATGCCAGGACGCGTTTTTTCCCTATCTTTTTCGCCTCTATAATGAATTTTTTATTAGAAATTATTAAAATCACCAATTTCTCGAAAAATATTTTAGGCATATTGTCAAGAAAATTAAAAAATTTTTAAATAAAAATTTAAAAATATTTTAGGCATATTGTCAAGAAAACTAAAAAAATAAAATTTTTATAAAAAAAATGATTCCATATTTTTCATCTTTTTTTGGGATGGGTATCTGTCTTTCGAAAGGACGTTTGACCTTCTCTAATAGTGATTCTAATAATGATTATAATACTCGATTATAGTATACAAATTGAGCTACTTTGATGGTCAAAAGGACGGATAAGAATTTCTTGTAATCTCCCACGACCATGGCGTTGCTAACAAACTCTCTTAGTTCGTTTTTTATAGCGTCTTCGATAGGAATTGGTGCCACATTTTCTCCTCCAGCTGTTATTATTAATTCTTTATTTTGTTTTGTTTCAAAAGATAAAGATTTTATATTTCATAACAAAAAACATCATGTCAACGTTAACAAAGTAAAAGTGACAAAATGTGTAAATGCTTCAAGAAATAATTTCTTCCCCTTTTATTTTAAGTTTTTTAAAAAATATATATTACATATATATATAAATACAAAAAAAACAGTCTGATTTTAAATATAAAAATAATATTTGTGACAAATTTTAAAACTATTTAATCAAGATAAATATTTAAGTCAAACTTTCTGATTTAAGATAAAATGCAATTATAAGAAGTAAAAATTAGATTAAGATTTCTGAATAAACAGCTGAAAATGCTGAATTAACTCATTGATGAAAACAAATATGATTTTATGAACAATTTAAATACAAATTATAACGTGAATTAACTTCAAAAATTTTAAATTTACAAAATCCATTATTCATATATAATAAAAGATATACATACCTTTAATCCTACCAGTAATGTAAACGAAAGGGCCCCCAGTCAGTGTCATATCAAGTCTACTCAAATCCCCGGTTCTAAGCCAACCGTCCTTATCTATTGTTTCGTTTGTTTCCTTCTCCTTACGAATATAACCCATGAACACGTGACGACCTCGGAGACAAAGCTTTTTTTTTAAAATGTGAGTTGTTAATAAAGTGTATATTAAACATAAATTCCAAGATTTTTAAAAAAATATGAATCCTATCAAATTAGCATAAAAGCAAATAGGTTTTTAAATTTATTTTTAAAATATTTGGGAATCTTAAATTTTTAAAAGAAAGGGGGTTCTGATTCCTAAATTTGAAGCTGTTGCGAGGGTTTCATAGAGCCATGATCAAACCTGTCAGAGTACACTCTCCCTCCCTCAAAGTAGAACTTTTTTCGTTCGGACCTGGGTCCACAGGACCTAAATGTAAGGAACGGATGGGCCCTAATTTTTTTAAACTATTTTTTCATTAAAAATATAAAGATTTCCTTTGCATACCTTCAATATTTTATTTTCCTCATGCTCATATGATTCAAATATCAATTATATATTTAATTATACAAATTACAACAGAATAAGGGCTCAGGATTTTAGGAATACTTTCTCATTTTTTCAAAATTAAAATAAATTCTTGATAATGAGATTTTCTTATTTTAGATTTAAATACAATTAGAAATAATTGTAAGCTTTCGTTTAGCCATCATATATGATATAACAAAACTTTGTTTTTTGATGATGAATTACACTTCGCTTACAATTCTATCCTCATAAATTAAGGCCAGACCTAATTTTAACATATAATTTTCGAGCAGAACTGTGAGAATCTGGCTGGAAAAATTTATTGTGTGGATTCGGGCCTAGAAAAAAATAAGATTTTTTTCGGACTCAAAAAATGTCTAGAAAATTTAAAAAAACCAAATTTCGTAATTGTTTCCCCATCAAAATTCAGTAGACCCTTCAAGTGTTTTGTATATTAAATTCTTGTTATGGTAAGATATATCATGCTCCGCCCTTAAGAAACTCTTCTACTGATCCGTGGTCACGTAGTAGTAATCACTTCTAATTTATTATTGATTGAAGCTATTACTTTCGAGAATTACATTTCTGTGAAAAGATCATTGGTTCAAAAAGCTTGTCACAAAAACTAATATTTTTCTTGTAGGATGTTTGAAAACATCTTAAAGGCCCTTATTAATATATATTCATTTTAAACATTTTTTTGAAGTTCAAAATACATTTAATATTTGTAATCTATCATTTAAAGAATACTTTTTATTATTCTAATCTATCACCCTTAAAGAATAAATTCATCTTATATTTATAATATATTATCACGATAAAGATATTCTTCAATTTCTTTTATGTTAATTCGTAATTAAAAATAATAATTCTAATTTAAAACTTGGTTAAAATAAAATAAAACACCTATATAACAGAAATAATTTAATCACTAATTTTCTTAATCAATATAGTGAACAATGGCTAAAAAATGGCGAATTCGAGTCAATCCACATAAGCGTGTAGAAGAAAATCTGATAGGTATTGAAGCGTGGCAATTATTTTAGCTTTCTTCAAAGCTAAGTTATAATAAAAAAAATCCCGAAGATGAGGTAATAGTATCGGGTAAGAACTAGGTTTCGTTTTTTAGCAGGTGAAAGTTAGATGACTCCATTGTCTTGTCAACAGATGCAAATCTTTATATTTTAAATTGTTGTAGGAACAGCGATTTAAAAAAAAATTATTGTCGAGTTTATCCAATTTCTTCTTTCTATAATGCCCTTTTCCCCTCAATTTTATCTAAAATAAAAGTAATAGTCAAAACTTCTCCAGAAGATTCCTCAGCGGTAGTACCGAGTTTATTTTGAGTCCCAAGCATGGAGATTCCCACACTGCCTCCCCAATAATTTCCAAGGCCCGGGATATTGAGCGTGGCTGGTCCAGTGCATTCACTCATACCTTTTTTAACAAAAAAAATATTTTTTTTTTAGAGAATAAAATGAATTTAAATAAACATTATTATAAATTTGAGATCTTCAAATCTGATGGTCAAACTCTTAATTAAGCAACATTTTTCTTACTTTTAACTAATTTTTTAACTTTATTGTAATGAAAAAATTACTCTAATCTGAGAAATACGTAAAGTTGTGGTAATACTCCTCTAATGGGGTGGGTTTTATCAATTTTAGGAATATAAGGAAGTGGATAATATTTATATTTCATAATAAGTAAACTTAAAATTTAATTTAAGTAATACTTCATCCTTTTTATTACATTTAATTTAGATGTACTTACATTGGCACATAAATTACTTAAAAAGTATTCAATTTGGGATAAATACATTGCCCCTCCCCCTCCATAGTAACGACCCTGATGATAATCTAATGACATTTAAGTATCTAAAATTTTTTACCTAGATTAATATTTTAAAAAATAATATCCATTAATTTTTTTTACTAATTCTTAAACAGAATGGTGATTTAATTTTATAATACAATAAAAATTTTAAATTAAAAAAAAAATCAAACCATAGACTTCCATGATGGGAATATTGAGCGAATCCATGTAGAGCCGCGTTTCTTTGGCTAGCGGGGCACCCGTGCTGACTAAGTAATAACACCGATCTAAGCCTAAGGCTTTTTTAACCTTTTTAAAGACAAGAAAATTAGCCAAGCCCCAGGTCCACGGAACGGGTTTACTATTAATGATATAATTTTGTTTTAAAAAAAATTTAAAACTCATTTCTATTAGGGTCAGTTCTTATTATAAATTAATGACAACCCAAATAAAAACCTATTCAATAATTTAAAAAAAACATTCTGGATGAGAAAAACTATCAACTACTTAAAATGAAAGAAGTTTCTTTATAAGGTTGTGTTCAAAATTTTAAATAAAAACTCAAAAGTTTTAAGAATTGCAAAACTTTCATGAGTTTTGAAAGATAGGAAAAGCATGTCTCGAATCTTCCATTAAATTTTAAAAAGTTGTTAAAATCTCCATTTAAAATATTCGAAATGTTGGATATTTAATTTATTAATTCGATATTTTATATTGTTTATTTTGTAAAAATTTCACAAATTACAATGTTTGAATGATAAAATTTTCACAATTGTAAAACTTTTAAGAACAACATTCGCGAATTAGAAAAAATTATTTAAGCCAACATTTTAATTTTACATAAAAATTGGCATATATTTTTTTTCCTTAATTTTTTATATTTAGGACATAGTCTAAATTGGTTAAAAAAAGAATTAAGCATAATATTTCGACTTCTATTCTTTCTTAATAAGTCTTCACTACTGCTTAATAAATCTTCATAATTTTAAAAATATATATTTCGTATGGGGATTCGGAATCCGTTGGGATTCGAAATCTCTTGATTTTAAAGCCTTTACCGAGGGCGATACGATATACAATTAAAATTTTACAGATAACGATACTTTAAAAATAGAAACCAATACTGCTACAAATTTTAATGCTGGTTAGTGCCGATACAAATATCCACAAATATCTTCGATATGATACATAAAATCACCGATATTTTTCGATACATTTTTATAATTTATTAATAACAGTAATAGTAGTACATATTAAATGAAATATTTTTAAAAATTAACATCAATTCCCAAATATTATTATTATTTGATTTTTAATCAAGATCAAAGACAATGAGACATTGGAATTTTAAAATCATTGTCCATAAAGTTTAATAAAAAATGTATCGGATACAGGATACTTTAAATAGGCTGAAAATTTATATATATTTTTCCATTAAAAAATTTCGCTTTCTACTGATGATGTTAAAAATTTTCTGATCAAAATGAATCATATCTTAATTTTAATATTCACCTCTTTAACATAGGTAGCAATTCCTTCATAATCACTTACTTCCCCCAAAAACTTTCTCAAATAAATTGATCATCTATTAGTTAAAGGGTCTTTTAAAAATGATAATTATAATAAAATTTTAATTTCATGAAACCTTTTTTAAAGTGAAAAGGCATGGTAGAAAAGAAAGATTTGTATAAATATTAAATATTTAGCAAAAAAATATATTAATATCAAATAATCCTGACCCCCTCATGAGAGATTCTGTTCCCTCCGAACCCACTTCTTTAGCCCAAGCTGCTATTTTCTTTTTTATGCCTGTTGCTTGACCACCCATTTCTTGCATTTTTTCCGTGATTTTTTCCCACACCCTAGGAACTCCTATGAATATCGTAGGCCTAATTTGTCTAAGATAAAGAGCTAGGGTGCCCTAATAAATCAAATTTTATATTTAAGAAACATTTTTTGGCAAGGCTGAAATTAGCGTTGCCAAGCTTTTAATCTAAAAAAGCGAACTTTTGAGTCTCCGCTCAGCAATTGAGACAAATATATTTTTTTAATAAACTTGGCTAATCATAGGTATTGAAATTTTTATTTACACCCTTATGTCTCACCTTCGACATTATTGTATCCTACTTATTAACTTTTGGCAACTGGCGTTAATTATAATTTAAAAATATATATTTCTTTTTTTAAATATTAATTTTCCCATCTCTAACTTTGAGAACATCGGGATGTGCAAAGTATATGGTATTCGCGGTATCCATAACAAGATACATATCCACGATTTGAGCGGCTACATGGCTCAATGGTAAATAAGTTAGTAATACTTCTTTGTGATCCCTTACTTTAATCATCACAGCGACTTGTCTGGATGTCCAGGTTAACTGTTAAAAATATATAAGAGTATATAAATTATATATGATTAAACTGTTTTAAGGTTTAATAACTACACTTGATATAAGATAGATGCACGATGAAAGGGTAATTAAATTTAGAATATCCAATATTTTAAAATCTTACGCGAAAATGTTATGATTATTCAATTTCGGATGAAAAAAAACACAATAAATATCCGATTAAATGAGAAGTAAAATTTTCTCCATTTTAGTGTTTAAAAAAAAATTGGAACCCTGGACATCTTAAAATAAATCAGAAATTAATCAAAAGACATGCTATAAAACACCATTGAGTTATTACGTTGTCATGACTTATCATGACACCCTTAGGATTTCCTGTGGTACCGGAAGTAAAAATAAGTGAACAACACATATTAGCGCGCAAAGTACTCAGTCTAGCTTCTAATTCTTTGTCCGTGACATGATCAGAAAGTTGTATGAAATCTTTCCACTTAATATATATAAAATATATTTTGATGGTAAAAAATTAAATAAGTAATATTTTAAAATCATAAAATTCATTTTGTGTCATTTAATCCAGGTGGAGCCAAACGGCTCGACCCATTTAGAAGATTTAATCGTAAATATTAACCTCTAGAATTAAATAGGGCTGAATTTTTACAATTACATTCTTAAAATGAGTCAAATAATTTGGCGCGACCCATTAACTCTAAACCAAATACAACCTTTCTTAATTGCCGTATTTTAGCATTTTTGATATTTATCTTTATGCAATCAAAGAATATCCTTCTAAAATATCATCATTATATTTATTCTACTTAATTGATAAATTTTTAATAGCGTTTAAAAGGGCATTAAAAATTAAATATTTTATAAATAAAAAATAATGTGTTCAACATATGGCAAATGTATTTTGAAAACAATTATACCGAATAAATCTTGAATCCATCGCCCGTTACATTGGTTTGAGGCTTACCCCTATATTGTATGGCGGCTTTAAGCATCGGTAGTCTATCCCTAATTTTAAGAATCTTAGCTAATTGCGTGGAATCCTCGACTACAACCAAATTCGAGCAACTGTCGTTCAAAATATTATAACACGTTTCCGCATTGTTTGTGGTGTATATTCCGGTGGATAAGCCTCTTTATTCCCCGCATTATGTGCATAGTTTAATCAAAGTGTTAAATATTATAACAATTTGTGAAAAATAATCTTACTATTTTGGACATTCCTCGATATTCCATTTTATTAAATATAAAAAATTAAATAGAGAGAAATATTAGTGAAGAACGGGGTCAAGAGAAATGAGATGGAAATGTTAGCTGTTATTAGTAAAAGGCAATTTTTTTAGACAATTGCCTAAAAAATAATTTTGATTTTTTTTGACCTAAAAATCACCAAAACTTTTAAATGTCTTACATAATAATAATGTACTGATCAATCATACCAGGTTTCTAGCTTGAATATAAAGATCATCAAATCATATAAAATTTCTAATTACCATCAAATGTTAAGGTGAAAAAGAAAACAAGTACGTCTACAATTAAATCTAAATATGAAAAGTTAAGAAATAACAGATAATTAATTTTTTTTGGCGTGGTGTGCATATAAATTTTTTTTTAAAAAAAGCAAAATGGAGGTGTTTGGAATGGGTACATCTATGTTTTATCCTATTATATCTGCTTCCATAGTTCACATTGATTTTTTTGTAATATCTAGTAAGTATACTATTTATAAAGTCAATTTTATTCAATTCCCATTTAACCCATACATTATGTTATAGGTCTGCATTGGGCAGGTTTTGCTCGCCCGCCCATACTTCGAACAGGCGTGGTATCTAAAATATTTTCAACATTTGGTGGTGATGGGTGATTTAAAAACTTTTTAAGAATTGGGAGGGAGCGTGGGCAGGTGAATTTTTATTCAGGCTAAATAAAGAGAACTTCAATTTATTAAAACTAATAGTTTTATTTCATAATATTGCACATTATAAATGTTAAATACATGAATATAAATTAATAAAGAGTCAAACCAGTCTTAAAATAATTTTTAAACATTACGTTGACGGGCGATTTGTAGATAAATGGGCGAACAGGCGGATAAAAATTATAAATGGGAGGGTAGGTTAAAATTTTCAAACAACGAGTGGGCGGACTTTTTTAAAAAAAACCCCCCTATTGCAGATCTCTACGATATGTCATCTAGCACGAGCGAGATGTCAAAAAAAATCGATCTCCACTAAACATTAAGTAGCGTCTATATCATATAATGGAGTTAATAAAAATGGGTTGAAGTGAAATAAAATAATCTTATCGCAAAAGAATTAAAATCCTGGTTCCCGTTCTAAATTGTTAAAAAAATGTGAATTTCGCTTACATCTCCTAGAAAATTTTTAAATTAAATTTGAAATGAATATTAATAGATGCTAGGGAAGTAAACATTTGTATTTATAATAAGTTTTTTTTTTAAAAATCGTTAAAAATGGGGAATATCATAATATTCTCAAAGGTAGTTCACAATTCTGAGAACAATGATATTTTAAACGATATTTTTTTTTAAACTCATTTTAACTACAAGTGTTTATTTCCTTAGTGTTATTAATAATACTTTTAAAATTTTATAGGAGATATGAACTAGATTCCCAATTTTTAGCGACTTTAAACATATCAAAAAATCCTTATTATCTAATTCTGGCCTCCTCTACTTTGGTAACATCATACCCTTTATCAATTAGGTTATAAGACAAATATACTAACACATCCACTTATCCATTAAAAAAAAGGTATTATATATATATATAATGAAAAAAATAAAACATAGACTTCTTATTATTTGGTTCATTATAATGGTTTTATTTTTGGGAAATCGATAATAAAAAACCAAATTTTGGTTTTTCAAAAGAAAAAACAAAACCAGAATTATCCGGTTGTATAAAAAAAAATAAAAAGTTGAGGAAGATTTTATACATGAATTTTATAAATATTATCCAAAAAAAGAAAATATTATAATTATAATACAATTTCCATAATAATAATTAAATATACTAACCCAGCAAATATAGCACCGAAATTGGAGTAAAACCATTCGGGTGAATTGAAGCCCATGATACCAACGCCGTGTTTAGGTTCCAGTCCTATCTAAAGATTGTTTTTCATAAATCATTATAAAATGTTAAGATAAGATAAGATCATATGAAAAATATTACAGCGATTTATATGCTGAAACTTTTATATATATTTTTTAAAAACTTATAAATAATATAAGGAACGATTAATCGAATTCAATAAATAAAAAAAAACTAAGGCCCAAATAAATAAGAATACAATAATGAATGAATGATATCAGAAATGAGTCGATACCACTTTTTCAGACGAAGCCAATACAAAATACTACAACAGATACTAATAAAAAATAAGTAGATACAAATAAAATAGTGTTAGGTATATTTATCAGAGACCTGCAGAGGTACCATTAGCACGACCGCCCGGATTATTTTTTTAAAAATTTTTTTGGACCTGCCCGGATTTTTTTAAAATATATTATATATATTTTTAATTTTTATAGCTAATAATGACGATTTAAAGTATTTGGTTTATTTTTTAAAAAAAACTTTCAGGCCAGGTCCGGGTTTTTAAAAAAATCTCAAGCCCGGCTAAGAAAAATCCGGTACGGCACGTGTGCCCGATCCGGGCTTAGGGGCGGGCCAGCAAATCTTATTGAAAAAAAGGAAAGATTTTATTAGTAAATTATTATTATAAAGTAAAGCTAAGATAGGATGCATTGAAAATTTTGAAAATGATCTTATAATATTTCAAAAATAAAAACTAGTATATAAGGGATAAATTAGTTAAGAACATCCTATTCAAAATTATGCTATTTTCTTCGAATGGTTTATTGAATTTATTTTCCCCACATATTAATATTATGTTGTTACTCATATCATTATTTTTCTTAGAAAAGGCGGAAATGATATGCATAAAATGTAATTGGTTAAAGATGACGATTAAATGACTTAATCAAGCGAAACGATGTAAATATTTACGGCGATAAAGGCTCTAGCAGTTCTCCTGGCCATCTCGTAATACTCCTTGTAAGTGACCGATATCCATGGCTGATCTATGGGTTCACAACTATCATCGTAAACTTGATATTTCAAAGCTACAAAATCGGGATAAGAGCTGACCACTTTGAGAAACCGATCTGGGACGGTAACGGGTTCTATAGATCCAGGACCGCTTGGCTCTAGCCTTAGTAAAACTGCTTTTTCTGGATCGTGGCATATATAATTCGTAGCTTCTACATATTATATGACAATTTTAAAAAAATACAATATGATCTTTATATAGAACTCATATTACCCCAAACTAAAGGTCGGGTAAGCAATGATAGGAGAAAAAAATTAAATATCGTTTCTAAATCAGTTCTCTATAAATGTGGAATCTATTGGTGATTGATATATATAAATAAGAAGCATACTTAGGCTGACATTTTAATAATTTAGATTTGTGATGTATAAACAGCAGTGATACGAGAGAAAAAATAATTCGTGATGACAAAAGAAATAGAAAGATTTTGTCATTTTTTTGGATAAAAATCAATAACGGAGATGAAGAAACAAATATATAAATTTAACTCGGACATTTGTCATCCAGAATATTAATTTTGTATGCTCAAAATAATTATGAATAAAAAATTTCTTATTATTAGAAAATTATATCAATTTTCCAATGACGTAAAAGGGATAGTTTGAAAAAAAGTGGAAAATGGCCAATAAAAAAATTCAAATTTGAGGGTGTGGCCAAATATTTGAAAAAAATATGAAAGTATTAGATACAAAAGCTAAAGATTTCTTTAATGTTTATAATAATGTAATTCAATGATAAATAACATGAAATATATATTTATTTTTAATCTAAGTAAATCTAATTATGTCATAAACAGAATTAATGCAAGCGTCATAGATAGGGAAAAGAAACGCAACTCACCAAATCCATAAGATAATTTAAAATGTCTTTAATAAAATAATTTAAATTTTTTTAACCTGCTAAATTATATTCGACCGTCTGCTTGTTTGCTATTCCGTTAGGTATATGATAACTAGAATCATCTGAATCCGACATACCTCGAGGTATTGAAATTTCTTAAAATAAGTTTTGAAGGGTCTATATAGGGGTATTTTTTAATTAAATTCTTGAAAATATATTAAAAATAATATTGGTAAGTTTAATCGGAATTTTTTTTAAGTAATAAAGTAAAAATAAATACGATATTTTTTAAAAATATAATAAAATTTGTTGTTAAAAATTTAGCCAAATTTATTCGAGGATATTATATTTTGAAGGTCTTATTAAGTCTCAACTCAATTTTATAAATATATTATATTAAAATAATGACGAAATAATGGTAAACTTTAATCCGTAAGATGTTAAACCTTTTTAGATATATATAATATAATCTTCAATAACATGTGACGATATAAGATCAATTTAAATTACATCTATTCAATATAACGAGTATCACTCAAAGATGGATTTTTTCTTCGCAACAGGTTGTCTTAAATATAGAGAACCATATGATATTTGTTCGCAGATGGTTTGGATATTAGCGATAAGAATCGTTTATAAGAAAATTAGTTCCCAGAGTTCAGCGGGCCTCGGTCCGAGGAAAGGAAATTTCCTAATGGGTTCTTATGTCCGGTTCATAATTTTTCTTATGAAGGAAAACGACATAAATTTGCCTAATTATCAGTTTTAAAAAGATTCAAAAAATTCAGCTTACCACATAAAAATATTTTAAACATTTGTTTAACTCGGCCCGAAATAGTTCCTTGGTTCGGCTCGATGTTTCTAATTATATTACTCGGGCGTTCATAATTTGTAGACTACTTTTATAATATTTATAATTTATGTCTAACCGACTAAAATATAATTAGTTATTATACAAGGAAAGTTCAATAGTAAGAAATGAATTTTATTTTTATAACAAATAATAAATTAATTAATTTTTTTACTATTTTGTATTTTAATTAAATTAAGCCTATCTCTGTTTATAATTTTGCCATCTTTCTTTGAAATTTTGAATAGATGACATAATAACACTCCCCCTCCGCCTCATTCTAAATTTTTTTTGCTTTTATTTAATATATTAGATACTACACATTTCATTTTCATTTATAATGAATATAATTCGATTTTTGAATTTAACACTCCTTTTTAAAAAGAGCTAGCTCCCGTTCACGCTATTGAGTTTTTAAAACGCGCTTTAGCTCCAGATTAAAAATAGGAGTGTGTCGCTCCTTTGATTTTTATTTTTTAAATATAAATTACACAAAATATAATCATATATTTATTATTTTCATCTATATCTTTTATAAATCAAAGAAAATGATGCATCAAAAAAAAATAAAATATATAAATCATTTATTTGCTTTAAAGAGTAGTAAATTTTCTAAATTTGAATAAAACCTGTTTAACAATACTAAAGTGCTCAATAGAAGTACTAAAGGGAAGAGGGGTAATTGTATTTTATAAAAATGCTTTTTAAATTATTATAATTGACAAATATATTTTTAAAAAAGTCATATATTATCCTGATAATCAATTTGATTGAATCCAAAAGATTATTCTAAACATTGGAGGGTATTTTATTTTTGGTTTAATTGTAGGTATTTTTGGGTTAGGAATTTGTTTTCTTATAAAATTAATTATTTAATATTTTTAATTCCCTAAACTGAAATTTATTCATTTCGAAAAATAACAATATATTAGAATTTGGCTATATTCTATAATAAATATATTCCGGAGAGTTAAAGCGTATAAGTCTTATGTTATTACATTTATAAAGATCTTTGTGTTTTTCGCTTATTATTTTATTTAAAAATACCATGAATTCACAATACGAATATCATCTTATAGCATTTGGACATATCAAATATTTCCCCAATTTTTTAATTATATTATCAGCCATATTAGTGATGTATTTTGTTTATTCCATAAAGACTGACACTTTTGAAAGTTTTGGGATAATAATTTTAATTCTTATATTTTCTAAAGCTTTCTCAAACTGTGGCCGCTATATTAATATTGTGACAGGCACAAAGTGAAGGCTGGGTTGGAAAATCATAACTTTATATTCTGTTAATCAGTATATAATCGATATCCAAAGTTGAAAATCTTCATCCATCTTCAGAACTTTTATTTTCAAAAATTCCATCTCTTTTTAGAAGGAAACATATTTTGAGGATTTGAATGGATATTATTTCATCCATTTAAATAGCTTCTGCATTTATAAAAAAACGGATATAGCTTCTGCATTTATAAAAAAACGGATAAGTCTTTCATGGTTTTTATGTTTTATAATTTGAATTTAAAAAATGGCGAGAACGAAAAAATATAAATACTCGGTTCGGTTCAACCTATTTTACAATTAACTAGTTTCATAAATTTAAATAAATTATCATTTTTATTGTATTCAACATATACATTCATTAAGATTATTTTCTAAACAATTTATACTAAAAATTTAAAGCAGTAGAGGAGCGGTACTCTTCCCCTCCATCCCATAAAGAAGCAAGTATCGCTCCCGAGTTTTGAAAAACAGTAATGCTCCCGGAGCGGCGCTCTTTAACAACTGATTATATAGTTCAGCAGAACACTTGATTTTATGATATTACCTCTATTTTATGGATTCTATAATATTCAAAATAAATGACAATATTTTCAGAATAAATAAAGGTGACCCAAATGAAGGATAGAATTATAAAAGGTCTTCAGTTTGGCCCTTGATCTTCACTAAAGGAGGGGGGGGGTATTATTCCCCATAAATTTTATTGGAGGTATTTTTTTATAGCTCTTAGCAGAATATATATTTAAATCAATTTAAAGTTTCATCATTTTAACGTGTTTTTTTTAAAATTTTTAAATTATATAATATTATATATTGTATAAAATTTTTTTGGGAGAGAGGGGTATGGAGATTATTAAGGATATTTATGAAAACAGTAAATTTCAGAATAAGGCATCCTCAGTTTAATGTGAATATAGATATAGTTAAGTTTATATAATTAAATATAATAGTTACGAATTAGTTTTTGATTATAATCAGGGACCGGGACCAAAGGCATTTTTGCATTCCCATTCCCAGATATCTAAATACAATTTAATTTATATATTTTCTAAAAGATTATTATTTATATTGGTTTTTTTGGGGCATTAATATAAATTTGAGTGTCGAAATAAAAACGTTCAACAATTCCTGGAGTTTCATATTTTTAAAAGAACGTTCCGGGAAAGTTCCGGAATACACATTCCGATTCCGTTCCATAAATTTCCCTAGGTTCCGTTCACGGAATGTTCCGTTATGTCCCTGATTATAACATTATTTTGAAAATTAATAATCATAAATAAAAATATTTTTAAATGCCCTAAGTCTAAGAAATAACCTTAATGGATCAATAAAGTCGTACGCAGGAACCGCCAAACATTAATTAATACAATTTGAACTATTTTTTAAAAAAGTAATTTATAAATAGAGTCACAATTTGAGCAACAGTAAAGTTTTAGAAATGCCAATAGCCCAGCATGAGCGAAATGGCTAGATTTTTTACTTCCCAAGGCCCAGAACTCTCTTAAACAAACAAGAGAATAGAGCAAACATATTTACAGGTATTATTGCTGATAAATGATTATGAGATAACAAACTTAACACGGGTTCAAATCCGCTGAATATAAGATTTTTAAAGAAATTTTACGTTACCAGAGCTAAAATTTTAAAATAATAAATAAAAAACCTTTTTTTTAAACTGTTTTTTAAATTATATCCCGTGTCGCGGATCAAATAGTAAGTTTGGATGAGCTAATATCCTGTCCTTATTTTACTATAATTACAATTAGTGTTGTTAAATGGCTCATTTTGAGCCGATTTTTAAAAACGGCTAACTCGATATTTTAGACAGAAAAATATTGTCTAAGCCTCGAAACTTCGCTAATAGATATTTGGACCTTTGTGCCATCTATGTGCAAAATCTTTAGGCTTGCGTCATATTATTCTGGATAAAATGTTGAGTTAACCGTTTTTAAAAATCGGCTCAAATCGAGCCGTTTAACAACACTAATTACAATAAAAGATTTTTCTGAGCGAAATGCGTATTTGGGATGTGGTACACCATAATTTCTATTTTCCAGACTTTTCATTTCTCTAACATTAAAATAAAATTAATGTTTTCAAAAATGAAGTTTTTTTTCTTCTTCTTTCATTCTAACCAACTTATAACATCAAAAATCAATGTTTTAAATTTTTAATAAAAATAATGCAAATATATTTTATAAGATGTCAAGTTCATTGTTTAAAAAAGAAAACATTGTAAATGAATACAAGATTTTGAGGGTTTTGTTTTTTTAAAAAAGGAAGTAATATCCGAAGTTTAATTATGTTTATTTTTTGACCTCAAATCGGTTATAAAATATTTGAAAAAAATGATTTCAGTTTGAGATTAAATGACTACTGGGGTTATAATTAGAAAATTTTCTTCAACATGATTCTCATAAAAATTGATGGAAGCGAAAAAAAAATTTTTCCATCCCATTCTAATTTTATTATATACCAACACCAAACCATATGCAAACAAAAAGAATCAAATCAAATTTTAAAAAATAAATATTTAAGTAACGAAGAAACAACTCGTGTTTTATTTTCCATTTCTCATTCTCTCTTTTTTTTTTGGAAATTTATTACACAAAATGAATAACTTTTTAAAAAGTCGATCGACAGTATAATTCAATATGCCGGCCTCAAGTCCTCTAGGAAGTCAGGTTCAGGTCTAAAAAAAATTAAAATGTAGCCGGGTTGAACTTGGGTTTATTCTTAATTCTAATTTATGAAATTCACTGAATACTCTTTTTTTTAAACAAAAAAATATGGCCCAAAAATAATTTAAGTTGGGATTTCCTTTATAAATTTTAAAACAGATTTTTGGACGCAACCTTAAAATTAGGGTATTTGTTCAGGGTCAATGCCTAGGGCACTTTATCCATGATGTGATTTAACTTAAGCAAAAATATTAGTTTAATTAAAATTTTCGGTCAAACAACAGGCTACTTTCTATAATGAAGTTTCATAAAAGTCATAAAGTAATCGAAGGTTTAATATTTGGTGCATATAACGGTTAAATAATTTAATCGGTTTTGTTTGTTTTTCTCGAGATTTTTTTTTTCTTTTCCAAAAAATAATCTCATCTTTCAATCGAAATTTCATTCATTCATATATCATAATTTAAAGAGAAAAAAAATGAAATTAAATACTAATGGGAATAGAATCGTTAATATAAATAATTATGACACTTTCTTTATCAAGTGAAACATTTGACACTTTCAAAAAAAACAGGACAAATATAAGAAAATAAACTTTTTTTACCTCTTCTGAATGAGAAACTTTATGAACTTTCTTAAGGGATAGAATTATTATGATATAAGTAGAATATCAAGATTGAAAATAGAAACTGAGGGAACTATAATAATATATATAAGGAACCATTAAAAAAACAGAATAATTTGATTAAGATTTTTTTTAAAAAAATAACAATTATTTGATTAGGATATTAAGAAAACAATATATTGATACGCGGATATTGTGCTTTCATCATAAAATTTACATATTACATTATTATAACGATTATGTCATTTATAAGCTAAAATTTTTTACAATATATAATACGTAACAAACTGTTTACTTATATTATATATTTGTTTTCTTTATTATTTAATTTTTTCGGATAAGCTAGTCACGTGTTGATTTTTTTTATTATATTTTATTTATTACTCTAAGGTACTAGACATTAAATTTCAAATTTGAAAAAAATATGTAAAAAAAATGTAATTTATAAAAATTATTTTACCAAAAATTTAAAAAAATCCATTCATAAAAAAAGGATATACTATTTGGATTTAATTAAAAATTAATTATCATATTAATGAGGAGGTGATTAATTATTATCTAAATTTCTATTAAAAAAATTTATGCTTGGGGGGACCTCTAAATTCTTCCTAAGATCATCTATTTTTCCAAAATAAGATTGATTATTTAAAGTAAGCTATTTTTTATTAAAATTTGATATTTTTATATTTAATTTGTAAAAATTATTAAAGATTTAGTACATATGGGATGAGATTTTTATTTACATACTCCTATAAATTAATAGAAAAACAATTTTGATAATATAATGCACAATTCAAAATTTTTTTGTAAATCTCGAATCAAATAATCAATACTTTTTTTTATTTTAAAATTTGATCAATATTATGTAAAATTTTCGACAAAGGAACTATTATTTTTTTTTAGAATTTATACTTGTAATTTTTTTTAGTAAAGTTCTAGACAATTGAATTACAATTTAAATTAAAATTTTTTCGCTAATTCTACGTTTTAAGCGAGATAGAAAAAATTTGGGCAATTGGTATGTTTTTTTTATTACAAGTTCAATAAAAAAAATTGTCATTGTTTACCTATATTTGTTTTTATTTATTATGTATTTATTTTTAATAATATAAAATATAAAATTCTGAAATTATATTTAAAAATAAAATTCTATTATAATAAAATTAATATTTATTGTATTATGCAAATTTAATGTAATATTATCATGTAAATTGTTGGATATGTATGGAATTATCTTATAATTAATTATTTCTATAATTTGAGCCCTTTATTATAAAATTATCGATTTATTTCTCAGCGCGAGTTCTGATTTTAATTTTTTGTGTCTTCATTTAGAAACTCAAATTAGATAAAAAGTTTTATATTATATTTTATTTAAAAATTATGTATTTCTGTAATACAATATTCAGATTTTATGCCCCTTGTATTTTCAGAATCGGATGATCTAAAAAAATCACCTAAAAAATATATTTGAATATTACTATAATATTTTATTTACAGAAGAAGAAAATTCTTATTTTTTTAAAATAATTTGCGCCAGATTCGATCTTATCTTGGCACTAATAATTTAATAATCAAACAAAGAAATTTTTTTTTTATAAAAAGAATAAGATATTATTTTATTTTTAATTATAATCGATTTCATTCCTTGATTATAGGATAAATTTTCATCTCGTGATATTCTATAAAATAAAAGGTAAAATAGATTAATTGATTATATTTTCTTTTAGAAAAAGATTTAAATAAGACCATAAATACACTGGATAATTAAGGTGTTTTCTACTGATACTTTTATTTTATACATTACTTTAAGAGGGTTTGGGGATTTTATGATTATGAAATGCACCTTTATATGTTTTTCTTTATTATATAATTTAGCGTATTTCTAGAATTTAATAAGAATAACAGACGATAAATGAACATTTTGTTCTGTAATTCATTCATTTTACACGTTGTTCTACGACCTGTCCTTTAAAGAACATTCACCTAAGGAATTTTTGAATTATTATTTTTCTCAATTAACTTATAATTCTTTAATATAATTTGATTTAAATTAGCAAAAATTTTATTTTATATAAATATAATTGTATTTTAGGGCTCGGAAATTATATATTTTTTGAATGTCATGTGTCATGTTCATTAGAATTCAAACAGTAAATTAAGAATAAGATTTTTTTAAAATTAAATGAAAGACATTTATTTTTAAGAATAAACCGATAACAAAATTATTTCAAAATTTTCGAATCTCGAGAGGTAAATATTTTAACAAAAAACGAATTTAAATTTAAAAATAGGAATGATTTAAACGTAATGCTTTTTTTCATAAGATCACAAATTTTACGATGATGTATTTATGGTGGAGGAGGGGGGGGGTGATGTGCCATCAAAGAGCCATTTGATTCCGATTTTTTTAAAAACTTTTATTTCTTATAAATGCAATACTATAATGTTGTAGTATTGACATTTTTCAAAAAAAACTAATAATTTGTTTCGGGGTAGTCAAGAAAACAGGCAACATATTTTTAATAAAACTAGTGTTCTCGAAATTACGCTAATAAATGTAACCTTGTCATCTATCAGCAAAATTTTCAAGCTTTCTGGATAAAATATTGAGTTAGTATTTTTAAAAATCGGCTTAAATCGAGCCGTTTAACAACACTAGTTTGCTATTAAAATTATGTTTCCTATTTTTTTGACTCCCCCGAAACAAATCATTAGCTTTTTTTGTTGAAAATATGTCTATATCTATACTATATCTAGATTTGATGAAAGCTATATTTATTATTCAAAGTCAAAACCTTATTTTTACATTGAATTGAAAAACCAAATTTAGATCGTATCTTAATTTATTTAACGAATCAATTAAGTTTTAGGATGTATTTTTTTTTAGAAATTTAAATAAATAAATGGAAATGGCGATCAGTGGATAAAAGTAGATAAACAAAACAACTTAGTTGAATTTTTTTCCTTACAATTCTTCCTTTATTTAAATGAGGTACATTAATGATGACGATTTTGAAATTTTATTTTTGAATTATGTTAGTATTGATTTCGATAAAATTTTAAAAGTTTTGGAATTTATTATTTTAATGTGTTGGACCACAACCTTTATTATTTGTTATATTTTTTAAAAATTATCTAATCCTAGTGGACAGATATTTTATTATAAATTATATTAAACTAAGTCCAAACTCTAATGAACTCATATTTCTCATCTTTTCCAATACTAATTTTTATTAGGACTGTGCCGATATTAAATATTGAATCAAACCGATATTTTTCAAAAACTTATCCGATCCGGTATTTTTTTATTTTATAAATAATTTCATGATAATCAATTAATAAAAACTAAAATACAATTTATTTGTTGTAGAATATAAAGAAATAGTTAAAAATTTGCACAATTTTTTGTTACATTATCTGTAACAAGAAAACGATACATTTAGCTATTGTTGTTAAACGGCTGAAGCCAATTTTTTAAGAATCTTAACTCAAGATTTTGGCCGTAAGTAAATTATTCAAGCTTATTTATTTTGTCCACAGATGGCAGGAAGGTTTGGACATTTATTGTCGAAATTTCGAGGCTTAGGTAATAATATTTGGCTGAAATCTATATTTAGCCCTTTTTAAAAATCAGCTAAATGGAGCTGTTTAACAACAATACATTCATCCATAAATATTACAAGTATTTTAAATTAGATTATTAACTTTTGGTGAATAAAAAAAACCAAATGCACTTACATGAAAGGTTTTTTGAAATATAGAAAATATGAAAATTTTTATTACATTGGTTAAAGGATTCACAAAATTATCATATAATTGAATAAGTTTTTATTTTCGTTCGATCGCGGTCTTAATTTATATTAGTATCGTTCTATTTTAAATTAAGATCTTTGTCAAAATAATATTATATAAGCCTCAAGATATCGTTAATAAATCTTCAAATTTTTCAGCCATCTATGAGCAAAATCTCTTTTATATTTTTTGGCTAAAGTATTGGGCTAGGCATTTTTAAAATCGAGCCGTTTAACAACATTGGTTTATATTATAATTACATTATTTTGCGATACCTCAGTTCATAGTTCGAAATTAAATAATAAGGAATTTTATGAAAATGGGCATGATTTAGCCATTGATTTGTCCAACAAAAAAGGCGAAAAATGGCGAAATCATATTTTTAATATTAAATTAAAAAGTAATTCTCACAGCACAAGTTTGTTCCAAAATGTAGGTGACGGAAAAGAATGTATCCTCTATAGAATCGAAAGATTGATGAGGAAATAGAAGTAACAAAAATATCATGTAAAATGGGTTCTTATTAAAATTGTTAAGAATATTTTTGAAATGATCTATTACACCCACAATACATTGTTACTCTGCTTAGATTACATGATGCTAAATAAATTGTTAATAGTAACACAATATATTTTTACCAAAAAAAATTTAGATTTTATATCTCCATTCTACACTTTAAATAAGGATAGGCATCAAGAAGGACAGTGCTAATCGACTTATGGCCTCCTGAGGCGATTCGTCAGTTCATTTTAACCCTCAAGGATTTTTTTTAAAAAAGTTGGTTTATTCTTGAAAACGATAATCATAAAAAATTACGGAAATAAATTAATTTAAATTATGTATGGATCAAAGTCCGGTTCTATCCTAAATAAATTTTAAAATGGACAATATTCATATACCTTAAAAAAATGACGCAATGCTTGACCTTCTCCCTTCTCTGCCACAACGCATTGAGAGGGAATAGCTTCCAAAATTTATTTCCGCTTGTCATTTGACTTGGAAGCTATATTATAGATACTGATTTTTAACAGTTTTTGTTACTATCATTCAGTGGCGTATCCAGGATTTTCCTTAAGTGGGGGAATATTTTTGAGGGGTTTTCCCCCCAGCCCCCTTTAGCTGGCCTTCTTGAGCTATTCTTCTCAATTATTCATAATTCAATAATAATTACATGAATATTTTTAGTTTTTATTTACTAATTCGCGCTTATGGATATTTAAAGAAAAGGTTATAACTCAATTTTTTATTATTTTAAGTTAGGTATATTATATTAAATAAAAAATTTTTAAAATTATAAAATTGAAATAAAGAGTGTCATTTTTTTTATAAAATTGGCTTAAGCCTAAATTCTCATAATAAATAGAATAAATTTTTTTTATTGAAAATACTAATTGTAGTGTGTATAAATATAAAATATTGAAAAATTTTTTTAAAAACAAGTTTTCATAACTTCTTATCAAATACAATATTAATTATACAAAAAATTTATTAAATACTATAATTATAATGCGATTTTTAATTTTCGTGGGAAATTTGCCAATTCATCAAGAATTTCGTTTGTCGCTGGAATCAAATTTCTGTGGATATTTAAAAGAGCTAACCCATTTAGCCCAGATTCGGAAGTAGTATTTCGTAAATAAGTTTAAGTTGGAAAGGTCCTTTCATTCATACATGTTGTGCAAATATTCAAGAATATAAAACAACTTCAAAATATTTGGAAATTGAACCAAGGTTCCTTACATCGATTGAGCACATCAAGCATGCTTAGTTAAAATAGCCAAACGTAGTAAATATTAATACCACCATTCGAATTCACTGATTAAATTTATTTCAGTATCAATTTCATGGGAATATCTAAATATTTAATTTTACCAATAGTGGCATCAGAAAACGAAGAATCTTTAGGTAATAAAATTTGAAGATTGTTAAAGACTTGTTTTTTATCTAAAAACCGTACTTTAATTTGCGATAAAAAAGTATCTAAAGAATGGGATGAAAATGGATATTTTATATTCTTAAGTTGAGTCAACATTTATATTACATCAATTGCCCAAGTGCTAGACGAGGTTTAATTAGTGTTATATCATAAGATTTAGCTTTCGATTCAACGTCTAGATAAATATTATGAAAATATTCATCTACATTTATTCTTATTTACCTGTTCATATACATTTTCCGCCAAATCAATAACCTGAACCAAATCTAAATTTGGTTTTTGTAAATTTATACAAAGTAGTGAGCTATAGGAAAATATGCAACTAGCTGTAAAGATAAACTCTGATTTATATTGCAAAATTTTGACGGGGAAGTGGGGAGCGGTAAAATTTTTATTAGCTTAAAATGATATTTATGAAAACAATCAAATAAAGGGAATTACCCCCCCCCCCATTTGTTACGCGCCTGCTATCATTCTTATGAATAATCGCTAATTTTCGTCATAATTATTGAATTATAATTTTATTTGCCAACATAATATATTTAATTTTCACATCCTTTTCCTAGTCTTACGATAAATATCCTGGTAACTTATATGTAAATGATTTTAATTTCTAATAAAGTATGGAGGCGAAACTTTTTATTTTTATAACAATCGTAGTTCACAGAGGTCAATTATATAAAACTATTTGAAATGTTAGAAGTTTTTGTTACACTTATACTTAGCATCGATATCCACTCACGCTATTATCGTACCAATATTTTAATTTAAAAAGAATACCATGGGGTTACCCAAAAATGATGAACTCATAAATTAAAAAATTATTATTTAAATCATGAATTGATAAAAATAATATTTCAACCGATAAGAAAGAAAGATAGGGGTTTTCTCTTTTACTTTTAACTTATCTTTTATAATTTAAAAATACAATTTTATAATGAGTTCTCAAAAGAAACCATAATTATGTCTAAAAAATTATTTATAAAATAATCATTAAAAAAAGAGTTAATATAAATGTATTTTATCTGTATCTGTGATATATTAATTATCATATCAGTGTGCGAAAATATCGGTGCAGCCTGAAATTTTTTTCAAGCCCGGCCCGGATTTTTTTAAAGATTTTTGCCCGACTCACCGGTTCCTAACATTTAAAATGAACCCCGGTACCTTTTTAAAAGAATATTTTGATAGCGGTTGTTAAATTTGATAAGGTTCCTCTTCCGGTTATAAATTCTAAAAAAAATGTTCTATGTCGATTGTCATATTCTATTCTTTGCTAAGTATTTTTTAATCAAAATATTTTGTTAGCAATGTATTTTTTTCAAAAAATTACAATTCCTTTTTAATTGATTTAGATACCCATATGTGTATATTTTTATTCTCAGTATATATATTCGATATAACGGTAATATTTGAACTTAATATTATTTGCTCTTGGTAATTTAATAAATTTATAATAAATTATCCAATCATTCTTTGAAGTTAATCAAACTATCACGAAGTCTATAAAGTGCTCATAGTAGGATACTTTAAAAAAAATTAATATATAAAATGAATACCCACCATAAATTTCAGACATTTTGCATTGAATTCATAAACTACTTTTAATTTATATTAATTTTTTTTATAGAGATTTCAAAATATTCTTAAATTTTTTTTTACCTTTTGTCACTTCCACACTAGCTAAATTGATGTTTTTTTAAAAAATTTAGGATGCATATCTAATTTGATCCATGCCTTTATGATATTTTTATTTTTTAAATTTATTATTTTATAGATTTGTAATCGTATTTTTTTAATTTTTGTCATGGTTTTTTATATTGCTATTTAAAAATATTTACATCGTTTATAAGTATATTTTTTAAATGTTTTGGTAACTTTAAAATGAATAAAAATTGACTTGAATTAATTTTTTTTTAAAAAAATACACAAAAGTTTATTCATTGTTAAATCATGTCTTTCAAATTTAGGATTTACCCTCAAATAATTTTTTAAAATTGAGAGTATGAAACTGTGGATTCATATATCAATGCGATATACATAATAATATTTTTGGTATCAGTATGAGTGCATCTCTACTCCTTGCGAAGATTAATTAATTAAACATTTTATGAAATGAAAAAATTAAGGCATAAAATGAAATTGATTTTATTATTAACTACGCCCATACAATGTAAAGATTACCTTTAACTTTCTACTAAAATTAAATTTCATACTAGCAAGGGGTGGGGTTAAAAGCGTACTTGGTTTAAAATATTTTTTATTTCGCGATTCAAAATTTGAGCACACTTAAAGATCACGCCATTAAATTTATCAAAGTTTAAAATTTTTCTTTAAAATAATACATATTTATATTGCCTGAGGAAAGTTTTATTTGAAATTTTATTTATTAAGAAACATGTACACTAAGCTTATTTGTAAAAAAATAAGGATATTTTATATACAAGTCCTTTTCTATTCCTTTTGATATATTTTTCTTATCCTTTTTTTTTACAAACCACGAGAACCGGAATCACTTTAGTGATTCCATAATATAGCCAGATTTTTCCAAAAAAAAATTAACATTTAAATTTAAAAAAAAGCCAAAAGTTAATCTTGATTTAAATAAATATGTTTTTCACTGAACTATAAAGCTGTATTTCAAACTAAAAATAATATCTTGCTTACAAGATGTAAAGTTTAGTTTTAGTTACAAAAAGATAGTATATCAAGAAGGAAAAAAATTCACATGATAAATAAAACTAAAAAAATCCGATAAAAAAAGGAAGTTTAATAATCTGAAAATAATTCCACATGTGGTTAGGTGGTGGTTTTTAGATGGTTACAATTAAAATAACAAGCAAAAAAAATATTAGTTAAAATTTTAACTCATTTTTCTATTTCCAAAATAAATTATTTTATATTAAATTATAAAAATTAGGTAATATAAAGTAGTTGCGAAACAGTATTATTACAATCACGATGTCCATTTGCAATGGTTCTCTCATAACCTCGCCAAATTCTTTAGATCAATCCTCGGATCCGATCAAGCAACCCAATAATTATCATCATTCCTTAAAAAGTAATCATTTTTTTAACACGAGTAGGTATATAATCGTACTTTTAAATATACACATATAATTATTTTTCTTCAAATATCTATTTCTAGATCACATAAGTCTAGAGAAAGATAAACTTATCCACGCCATCGATGTTCCGATATCAAACGGATACGGACACCACGACGAAGATGACGATGCTTATAGCTCACTCCCCGATGATTCACCTATCTCTCACGATGACCAGTTTAGTAATTCCCTCTCAAGTAATCTTTCCCCTACTTTTACCTCGGAAAAAAACCTTGAGAAAACGGTGGAAGAAACGCTAATTGCTTCAGCCGAAGAATCTTGCTCAAACCCTCCTGAATCCATTCCAAAATTAAAAACGGAACCTGAAACCATGCCTAAGGAGCAAACATATCATAACGTTTACCCCGACGGCCTATCTGTCATTGAAAACTGGGCCGACAACGATTTAAAACCGCTCACCATCCCGCACAAGCTTAAATATATTGCCGATACAAATCCCCAAGCTGCGGCGTATTACTACAAAACTGACGGGGAAGATACGCATTGGGAAAGCGTGACCTATCGCGAATATTTACAAGATATAAGACGCGTGGCCAAGGCCTTTCTATCGGTTATACAATTTTTTTTATTTATATTTTATTTTGATATCTGGATATGGAAAAAAAACCTTATTTTTTTATTAAAAAAATTTTCTATTCGCAATAAAATGAGGTATTCAAATTAAACAAGTTTTACCTTAAAGATTTATGCCTCCTTTAGGAAGGAAATATTTGAAAATGATTCGTATTTTATTTTTTCGAAAATGTTTACCAACTTATATTACAATTGAAATATATAGTTTTATTTACAGATAAAAAAAATCGATGAAATATTTTTTAAAAAATGATGACGAATCAAATTCTACTCATTTTTTTAAAAATAATGTATAATGTAGATTTTGGTCTTATTTTGTAACATCAATCGTGGAAACCATTTTGAAATTTTACAAGGTCTTTTTTTATTTTTTTTATTTTTTAACCAAAATATAATATCTAATTTATGTAATTGATCTATTATTATTATATTAGATTAAAAGTTTATAGCTAATTTATATGAAATTATATTACATTTTGTATTTTTTATAAACATTGATGTGCTATATTTAAAATAATAATATATTTACTAGATGATATATTATGGCCATAAAGAGAAGGATTTTTGAAGAATTTTTAAAAAATCTTTGATATAACAACAAGAAAAGACTTCTTTTTTTTTTACCGTTATCTAACCTTTTACGTTATTTTATAGTTAATTAAATTATATTATATTTGTAGAAATCATTATTTAATTCTATAAATGACAATAATTTTCAACTTATAAACAGTTAGGCTTGGAGAAGTTTCACGCCGTGACCATAATCGGCTTTAATGCTCCAGAATGGGTTGTGTCTAATTTTGCAGCCATATTTGCGGGGTACTTTGATAACTTGATTCTAATTTTGGAATAATATACTATCATTATTATATACATATACCTCAATATAAAATATTTTATATATTATACCCTATTAGAGAATATTATACATATCACAATGGCTTAGCTAACGTTTATAATTTAAGCTTTCAACTAGTCTTAAAAAACCTACTCAAATATAAATATTTTTAGGCATGGTGACATGAGACCAGTTCTTTCCCCTCTTCTAGAGACCAATGACATTAATACGAATCCAGACTAACGATTAAAGTATACATATATTGAAGTTCGCCATTGAAAGGCATTTAGACAAAATGCGAAACAATGCTTCTACTACAGCTGAATTCAATGTAAGTACACTTTTAATAAATGGATCGTGTCTAGATTAGTATTAATGTCGTTGCTATCAACAAATCAAAAACCCGAACTGGCTCTCAAAAAAAATAATTTTATCATTTTTAAAAAAAATTATTAGATTCGGGCCTCTCTGCTTCGGCCTAATTTGTCGAGCAAATGCATCTGAATGTATTTTAAATTTAATAGGACTTAATATTTAAACAATGTTATTATAAATAAAAATATTAAGAGGGTTGTCCACCGGGGTCTACACTACGAATAGCGCTGAAGTTTGTTTTCATATAATGATGGACTGTAAAGCAAATATATGTGTGGTAGAAGATTGGAATCAAATGAATAAAGTTCTGAGCGTAGCCGACAAATTACCGAACCTAAAGGCAATAATTCAATATAGGGAACAGGATTTTCCCTCAGAGTCAAAACTCAGCCATGCCAGACACTTCAAAATATTGAAAGTTATATTTATTTTTTTTTCAATGAAATTATTGATTTCAACGAGTATTATATATTGATTATTGTGATTGATACCTCTATTTTTTATCCGGCATAAAAATACGACTAAATTTATTCCCGAAAAATAATCACCTTACCTTTTTTTAGAGCAATATTTTATTTATTTAATTTTTAAAAATAAAATTTCATTCGCAAAAATCAAATGTAACTTTGTTTTTTTGTTCTAAAAGTGGTCCGATTTAGACAGGTATTCTGAAATGACATCCGAAGACATCTTAAACGAAAAGATTGAATCTCAAAAACCTAATAATTGCAGCACATTGATTTATACATCAGGAACTACCGGAAACTCTAAGGGTGTAATGATTAGCCACGATAATGTAATAAATTATATCCACATTTTTTTGATTTAACTTAATTTTTTTTATTTAAATAAAAGATTTAGTAAAAAAAATAAGAAATAATTTATAGCATCGGAAACCTGCAGAGATCAAAATTTTAGGCCCACCCCAGATTAAAAATTTATTTCTTAGCCCGGCCTGGATATTTAAAAATTTTTACGCCCGACTCGACCCTATAGAATATTTTCAAGGACAGCTAAGTCCGGGATTTTTTTGGATAGTTTTTGGCCCTCAAATCTTAATTTTGATCATTTTCCTCATTTTTCAAATTTTTTTAAAAGAAAATCGAAAATATGAGCAGTAAATTAATATTAAACGCTCCATTTAAGATTTTCCCATTGATTATCTCTGGCTGGGCCTGCATGTCTCTGAGATAGATGGAAAGGAAGGACAATGTTGGTACCGAATCTAAATTATTGAATAAATTGCTTGCTTACAATTACTTTGAAATATTTAATGTCATCTTTTTAAAACCTATTTTAAAATGTAAATATAGTGAATAAAATTTTATTTGCCCCTTTACTTAATAAAAAAATTGATTAGTTGATATGGACCTCGACAATCCTTTCAAATTACATAAAATCTCAACACCGTTCAGAAAGAATGGTTAGCTATCTTCCCCTAAGCCATGTAGCTGCTCAAATGACTGATATATACATGCTTATGGAATCCGCATCCAGTCTTTGGTTCGCTAAGCCCGATGCCTTGAAGGTAATTTAATATAACAAATTTTAATTAAATTTAGTTAAGATTGAAAATATAATATTTTATTTTATATTATAATACATAATATTTTTTATTATAATACTTATGTGATATTGTTGTACACTATTTCATCTGAAATTTACTAACTGGAATTGATATATATATATATATTTACTACATATTTAACCTAAATTATTTTCAGAGCCATTATCTTATTTTGGTATTAAGTGAAAATGAGGAACAAATATTATGTTATTCAAAGATAATTTTATGGGATTTTTGAGTAAGTAAATAATTTTTGATATCTTAAAAAACATAATATCAAATTTTCTACGATATTTAGCTGAGAAAGAAAACTTAATTATTCTCCTTTTTACCTTAAGTTTGCAGTATCGTCTTATATCTTTTTAAGTTGAATAAATCACAAAAACATTTACTGTTTGAATATAATTTTGCCATTGCAGTTTGATATATAAATAGAAATTTTAAATATTCTGGGACTCTTATTTTAAAAGTTATTTTTGAAAAGTAAATAAATTGTATTTTGTTTAAGATTCAATTCATAGTAAATGATTGATTTGATTATCTTAAAGGTACTTTCGATGAATATATAAACATTATTGTAAAAGTTTCATGGTTAAAATAAAATAATTTTATATTATAAACTTTTTATATCTTAAACACCACATTGGCGACTATTAGGTGTAAAGAGACGTATTAAATTAAAAGATTAAAGATAATATTACTATGCCTAACGAAGACTCGAAGTTAGTTCTGAAGAAAAACGAAGAAGCAGCAACATCTAGTCAATTCCATAATTCTTCAAATCTAAAGTGAATATTCAGGACTATATATATAATTTAGAACTCATTTTTAAAGTAAAAAATATTGTCGATCATAATTAAAAAAAAGATTTGTTACTAGCATAGATAGATGTGGATAACTTAATTAAAATAAAAAAATTTCCATTACCAAATTAATTTAGAGAGCATTAATTACATAACTTATTTGATAGTTTGGAAAAAATATTTAAGGATATCTTTAATATTTTCCTACATCGAAATAATTTTTATACTTTAAAAAGAAGCGGAACTATTAAGATTTCGATCGTATTTGCACACTTTGTAATTTTAAATCACCTGTTGATAAAATTTTAAGAGATATTATTATCTTAGGAGTAGTGCTGCCTGAGTAGGATAAAGATCTTCGGTCAAAGTATACCGAAGGCATTTTCATTTTTGAAAATACCTTCGTTTAGCTATCGCGCTGTCTTCCTTGGAAAAGGGCCCAGGTATAAGTTAAAATCATTAAACCTACGCCGACGCAAGGTTACAAAAACACGTATTTTAGGAATAATAGTTATAATAACGGTAATAAATTAATAATAGTTATAATGCCAACAAATTCAATTATAATAAATATATTCCTAATAATTATAAATCTAGTTATAAACCTAACTTTGTACAAAAAATGTCATATGCTTTCGATGCGGCAAGGCAACCCACATAGAAAAAGATTGTAGAACTCATGCAATACAGATGATACCTCGCCTGTCATTTCCTGATAAAGTTACCATTGATACGAAGATAAATAGTTTGCGGGTTACAATGGAATTCGATACCGGTGTGTGATGGATGAAGTTGCCTGGAGACACATTGACAAACCATCACTATCGCCTGCATATAAACTAGTAGTGAAAGTTGAAGTAAAAAAACATTTCTAAATTTTTAGGGTAGTTAAAGGAGAAAATTCTTTTATGTTTGGAACGCCTTTCCTTAGAGAATTTGATATAAAGCTTTCGGAAGAAGTTCGAATAAATAATATAAATATTAACGTTCCCACTTTAAATACCCTTGCATCATAATTTCCTCAAGTTTTTAAAAAATAATTAGGAGAAATAAAACCAACAAGCAGTTATCTGCATACAACCGAACGCATTGGCTACGCCAACGGTTAATATCTTAAAGAAATCCAGTGCCATGCGGATAAACAGAGATTTTCGTTTAACAATTATCAAATATTTAGCGATAGATAACTATTTACCAACTTTCATCGACCTAACAAATAGGATCGCGGGTGGTAAAATATTTTCAACGATAGATTGAGATGCATTTTTACAATTAGAAGTTAGTCCAAAATGTAGAGGTCTTTTAGTAATTTTGACTCATGAATACCTAAGAATTCCTTTTGGGTTGACTAGCGCTCCGATAATATTTCAACGCTTTTTGCCAAACCTATTAAAAAGAATTCCTATCGTTAGTATATTTTAGACGACGTAATAATTGCAGGCGAAAATAATTTTGATCATGTAGTTAATTTAAAAGAAGTATTAAGAAGATTTGATAACACTGAACTGACAACGACGGATAAAATTAAAATTGGAGAAAAGTCAGTTACTTTTTTGGGTCATGTTATTGAGAAATTCGGAATTCATCCTGCAGAAGATAAGATTATTGCCATAAAAAATTGTAAAACACCGTCAAATGTGAAAGAATTACGTTCTAGGATGGATTACTATGAATCGTATATACAAAATTTACATTCTATTTGTGCCCCTTTACACTTACTGACGAGTAAAAATGTTAGTTGGTTTTGATCAGCTCAAGAAAATGAAATATTTATTAAAGTTAAAAATATAATATCAAAAGAATGCAATAATTCCTTATTCAGCCGATATTCCTGTCGTGATTTCTTGTGATGCTTTCGAATATGATCTAAAAACTGCTATTGCACACCGATTTCCTACTGGCCAGGAGAAACCGATTGCTTGCCCATCTAGGACATTTTCGGCGGCTAAAAAGAATTATCCCACCATTGATCGGGAAACTTTTATCATGTTCGCTATCGAGAAGCTCCATCAATATATTTATGTAAGACATTTTATTTTGGTTCAGATCACAGACCTTTAAAATATATCTTAGGTGATAAAAGAGACCTAATAGTATTTAAAGTGGGAGCATTCAATATGAATTCTCTATGAAAAGGTATTCATAAGAGAATTCTCTCCTTTAACTACCTAAATAGGTAAAAATTTAGAAATGTTTTTTAATTCGGCTTTCACTGTACATTTACCAAACACTTCGTGGTATTATTATACCCATTAGTTTATACGCAGGCGATGTGCTGGTTTGTCAATGTGTCCCCAGACAACTTTATCTATCACACTGCACGCAGCACCGGTATAGAATTCCATTGTAAACCGCAAACCATTTATCTTCGTGTCAATGGTAACTTTAATGACAGGCGAGGTATCATCTGTATGGCATGATTTATACAATCTTTTGCTATGTGGCTTGCCTTGCCGCAACGAAAGCATATGACTTTTTTTGTATGAAGTTAGGTTTAAAACTTGATTTATAATTAATAGGAATATAATTATTATGATCGAATTTGTTGGCATTATAACTATTATTAATTTATTACCGTTATTATAACTATTATTCCTGAAATATGTTTTTTTGTAACCTTGCGTCGGAATATGTTTAAAATTTTGTTAACTTCTACCTAGGCTTCCTTTTTCAAGGAAGACAGCGCGATCGATAAACGCACGGCATCTTCAAAAATGATAATGCCTTCGGTATACTTTGACCGAAGATCTTTATCCTACTCAGGCAGCCCTACCCTTAAGATAAAAATATCTCTTAAATTTTTATTAACAAGCGATTTAAAATTACATAGTGAGTAAATACTTTTTAATTTAATCGAAAAATCTATAATAGTTTCTCCGCCTTTATTTAAGGTATAAAAATTATTTAGATGTAGGAAAATACTATAGATATCTTTAAATATTTTCTCCGAACTATCAAGTAAAGTTATGTAATTAATTATCTCTATATAAATTTGGTAATGGAATTTTTTATTTTAATTAAGTTATCCATATTTATGTATGATAGTAACAAATTTTTTTATTATTATGATCGACAATATTTTTTTACTTTATAGATGAGTTATAAATTATATAGTTCTGCATATTCACTTAAAATTTGAAGAATTATGGAATATGGAATTGACTAGATGTGGATGCTTCTTCGTTTTTCTCTAGAACTATTTCAAGTTTTTGTTAGTAGTATTATATTCTTCGTCTCTTTGACATTATAATTTAATACATCTCTTTAAACTTCTCTTTAAAGTTAATAAATTACAAGTTAAAATGTTAACTGTGACTGTTATTTACTAATGATATTTTAAAAAAATAACATGTAACTCATTAGAATTTCATTTCAATATTAAATTACCTTATAAATTTTTATATAATTCAGCATCATTAATATAACCTTTTATTTACTAAAATATTTTGTGATTTACAAATTTTGATTAAAGGAATTTAAATAAAGAAATAATTTAAAAAAATATATAAATAATAACAATATAATATATATTTAATATAAATTTGGACTTAAAAAATTATGACTTTGATAGCCCTAATGTTTCAAAGTTGGTGTAAGTGTTGTAAACCTCAATTAAATTTTAAAAAGGCGGCTAACTATATTACCCAAGCCTCAAGATTTTGCCTTAAGGATGGCAGAGAGATTCTATTCTGGCCAAATTTTGAGGTCTGGTATAATTACTTTAGATAAAATATCCAATTAACCGTTTTTTAAAAATTAGTTAGATTTAGGTTTGTAAATAATATATATATATAAACATTTAATTATCTTGAAAAATAATCTGAAAATAGTTGTTACAATAACTAGTTTCAACTTTTCAAAAGTAGCTAGTTATTTTTTCACAAAAATACAATTGTTATTACTTTAACAACACTAATTTATTCCAATAAAAATATCATTTTATAGTGCAGTTTAGTAACGACCTTAAAAGAAGCCAAACCTACTATATTCATGGGTGTACCTCGAGTATGGGAAAAAATTGCTGAAAAACTTTTTATTATGAATAAATCACTTCACGGCTTTAAGAAATCTATTTCAGACTGGGCCAAAGATATAGGGAAGCGTGGAAGCACGGCATTGATGAAAGGGTATGCCTATTTATAATTGTTATGAGGTTCTATGATTTTAAATGTACATTTATATTTTTTATATTCTAATGCTCATCTAATTATAAATGTATAGATGATTCAAAATTGTCAACCTTTAAGATTTACAATAGCATAAAAATACCAAAAGTGAAAATAAGTATCTATAATTAATAAAAAAAATATAGAGATATAAAACAATCAATACATATAATTTAAGAGATAATTTTTGCATGTTACTATCCTCAAAAAAAAAATAATTTGTAGCATCTAATAGTCTTACAATTAAAGTTTCTTTTTTGTTTTATCTTAAGCTTCTGCTCAATTAAGCAAGATAAGTTTTAGGATTTCTGATCGGTTAAAATTATAAATTAATCGCTAATATTTTCAAAATGAAAAATATATATTACAAATTACAAATCTAGCTAAAAATTATCATCAATGTATTTGTAATTAAATTATATTATGTTATCGGTCTACTTTTTTAATTTATATATTTAATACAGCTCTAACTCCATAAAATAAATGTCACTATACTTTAATATATTTTTATAACAGATTTTTTTAAAATATATATAAGGTCAATTTGATCAAAATAGGAGATTTAAAATTTTTTTGAAATTGCAGCAATTTTAACCTGATCCCCCTCTTTCCCTTTTCAAAATATTTTTATGAACGGGTTCCTTCATAAGCTAATAAGTATATCAAATAGTGATAAAATTTTCAAAGTTTTTTTTTAAACTTTGAAAAATTAGCAATAATACAAATGAGTTGAAATTTTATAATATCATTAACATAAATTTACCTTAAAATTATTCATTATAAATTGAAATTCTTTATAATATTAGCGACTCCCTTCCTTGGGGCCATTATCTCGCCAATCGCTTGGTTTTTTCTCGTATTAAGACTGCCTTGGGCCTCAACCATTGTCGGTTTTTTATCAGCACGGGAGCTCCTTGTTCCTCGGCCACTTTAACCTTTTTCGAATCCCTTGATATAAGGATACAAGAAGTTTACGGAGCTTCAGAATGTACAGGACCAGCTAGCGTGAATTATCCTGAGGTAGGCTTTTCTTGGATAGGAAGTTCTGGACCTCTTCTTCCCGGAACTCAGGTCAAGATAATGAAACGGGATCCGATAAAAGATAGAGAGAATCAAGGTCTATTAACTTGTTATATATTTTCTTAACAGCCCGAACGGACGTTGTGACGGTCCAAAATTTGGATCGATTTTTATATATTTTGTTTTTTCGAATCATATCTGAACTGATTTTTAAAAACTTATTCTATCTGAACTGATTTTTAAAAACTTATTCAATACTCTGTTCCTCTTGTCGATTTGACATTACTATTGGCATTATAGTTATAAAACAATAAATAGGCTAATTTAGCCAATTATTTGTTACAATTTAAAGAATTTGCCTAATGCCTAAAAAAATCTGTTAGTATTAGTGAAAACCATTATTTATTTTTAATATACTTTTAAGATGCCGCAGTTAAATATGGCATTAAATGCGAAGACAATCGTGAACTTGGAAATAATAATTGTAGTAACGGGTCAATTATTCATATTAGCAATGGTGATGTAAAAACTCTATGTTCATCTCAGGATGATATTCTAAATGAAGATATGGAAGGAGAGGTATAATATTTTTATCAAGTTTAAGAAAATATCATGCAGAATTATCTTTTAAATAAAATTTATATGTAAAAGATTATAAATTCCCTATGATAAAAGAATATCTCTAAAATTAATGAGAGGTAGTCATTTTGTGAAAAATAATATATTTATATCAATTAGATACTGATAAAAGGAAGACACGTTTTTATGGGTTACCTTAACATGCCCCAGCAAACGATTGAAGCCATTGATTTAAATGGATGGTTTTCTACTGGTGACATGGGAAAATTAACCAAAACCTCAACTGGAGGCCCTTTCCTCTACATAACGGGAAGATTAAAAGGTTAAAATATAAAATTTCTTTGATTATTCGGAATTATAATATTTTCAATATAATTTAAAGAATTTTGAATTGTTAGCTGATTAAGCATATGTAATTATTCTAATGGTCTCTTTTGTTAATGAAAAATATTTTTTCTCGGAAGAGTGGTTTTCCATAACAAAAGGGTTTTCTTGCTATACAATATCCCTATTACTGAAATATAATAACTACATTTTCGCCATATATTTTGTTTGCTGAGCCCTTTCTAATAAATTATATTTACCTTTCACAGAATTGATTGTAACTGCCGGTGGAGAAAATATCGCTCCTATACCCATTGAAAATATTATCAAAGAACAACTATGCGAACTGGTCAGCAACGTTATGGTGATCGGTGATTACAGAAAGTTTTTATCAGTGATACTAACGTTTAAAGTATGGTATTAAATGATGTATTATAGTTTTTTTTTTTTAAAAATTAGTCATTATTAAATTTTAATATGCCAATATAAATTTACTGCAAACGCTTACAAATAAATTTAAGCCTCAAAACTATTTTTATTTTCTTTATACTTAAAATTTGACTTTTTTCAGACAGAAATTGACATAAATACCGGGTTATGTTCTCAGACATTACTCCCTTCAGTTCAAAAATTTATCCTTGATTTGATTAATCAAGTTTCTTCAACCTCATCCAAAATCACAGACTCATTTGAAAATAATTGCGCTAATGCTGATGAGTGTAAAAAAGAAAGTACCTATTCTAATGGCAAGGTGAACTGCTGCTGCAATGACAAAAAATTATCAATGAATTCTCTCTTGGTCAAGAATTTGATTCAAAATATGCCGCTTACACTAAAAAGATATATAGATGATAGGATAGACGTCACAAATACAAAAGCCGTTAGCAGAGCTGCTTTCATAAGAAAATGGGTCTTTTTGGAAAGTGATTTCACTATACCTGGTGGAGAATTAGGTTTTTAATGTTTGACAAATAAATGAATATCTATATTTTATACATATATTTAATTAAATGCTAGTTTAAATATTTATTTTAGAGTCTTATTCAGATAATGTATTATAATTATAATACTCTTTTTTTAAAACAAACATTGCTATATAACCAAAATATTAGCAAATAATAAAAGTAAGGGTTTAAAAAATTAATATTTAAAGGAGAAAGTATAAATTTATGAAAAATATATCCAATGACGGCATATATAGTATACTCCCATTATTTCGAGTGGTAACTTCTAGTGTTATATGATATTATGTTGTCTGATATAATAACCTTCATTGGGGTCTTTTGTAGTTTGAATTCTAAAGTTACCTAGCATAAATATATGCATTTATTTCTTTTCGGAATTTCAGCTCTTGTAAAATTACCATAGATCGGATATATTTCATTATTCGGAAAACCACTACATATGACGTCTTGCAATAACATTTGTTAATGGAATAAGAGTGATTACATTTGACTTTTTACTATTATTAAAGAGTAGGAGAAAAATGGGCTTCAGAATAGAAAGAAATGTTAGCTTTTTGAATTGATTTTATTATTTCTTATCTTATTTTTCATCGTTTAATGGTGGTTTCCTAGGTTTATTCGGGTAAACCAGTTTCCCCTCTGGCACCCTTTTTCCGATTTTACCCCTGATCATCGTTATTTGTAAATTACATTATTCTATTCACCCATTACCATTTTATCCACGTCTTCATTGGTCTTCCTCTAAGCATTGATCCTATAACTCGGATCGAAGTACATCTTTAACCCAATCATCTTTCGTTCAACATGCCAAAATTACCTCAGTCTATTTTTTCTCCAATACTTCAATCTCTTCCAATTCTTTCCCTTAATTCATTATGTTTTCTCTCTCTCTCTCTAGATACCCCACGCATTCTGACTATCTTAACTCAGTTCTTTCCCATTAAGCTTCATGTGTCGCTTTCTTTACCCACGATTCGCCACCTTATATACAGCTTCTCACAAGGTTTACATATTTTCTTTCAGCTTCAGATATACGTTTTTATTTGTTAGAATAGACATCTCTTGAAACTTTTTTCGTGGACCCTTCAAACAACGGCAGAATTAACACCTTAATCTGCATCCAGCGCTTCACCCAAATAACCTTTTCACTTTTTCCAAAGTAGTTCCATTGCTATCTAAACAACTATGTTCTATAGATAAAAATAACGTTTGCTATCATCAGGCTTCATTTTTCGCATATCTTTTATGCAACTATTTCTGCCAGTTTATGTATTTACGGCAATTCGGTTCGGACAATTTGGCTCAGCGGTTTTATACTTTGAATAAAATACGGTGTCATATAACCATTATTTATAATTGAATGGTGACAATTTTCATACTCGTCGCTATTGGATAAAACACGCTTACATATATTTATTACTTTAAATCATAGTTTATTTCTTTGATTTTATTTTTCTAATCCTTTATGACCATTTTATTCGCATTGCGATATATCTAAAAATAATGCAATAAAAAGAAAATGGCATTAAATATCATATCTATATTATTAATCCATGAATAAATTGATAAATATATCTTGATTTTTTCTTATTCCAATTTATACTAAAGATATTTTATCATTGTATCTATTTAGGGCCCACTATGAAACTCAGACGCCCTTATATATTAAATAAATATTCTCAAGTAATTGAATCTTTCTATAGTGACAGTAAAGAAATAAATAATGGTCAAACTCTGGAATATAGAACTTCCTAACCTTCATAAAATGCGTTGTTTTAAATTGAAATAAACATTTATTATATTAATATACTAAAATAAGGATTGTTTTTTTTTTATAAAAGTTACATTTGTACATAGATATTTTTCCTTATATTAAAAAATATTTTTTTTAAAGTTGGAATAAAGAACAATATTTAAAATGCCAAAATTACCCCCCCCCCCCCACCCTACCCCTCTTCCATTCAATCTGGAAACATAATATTTAGTTTTAATTATGGCAATTAATGACTTGTAAAGCACAATATATAATATTTTCAGTGTACTTAAAAGGCTATGGTCTCATATAATTTTTTAAATATTGTGATTTATAAATCGTGATTATTGATAATTATTTGTAGATTAATTTATTTAGTATTTATATATATAATTTTTTAAATTTTCTAATCAATATTTTGTAAATTAATAGTTTGCACAAATAATATTTATGCTTTATAATATACTCTTATTTCTCATTTGAAACTTTTACTTTTAAATTCAAATTAAACGATAAATATATCAAACCCAATCACATTCATATGATTGTATAGATTTGTCGTACCAAGTTACGAGTTCAACCCTATAATTAAAATTGGTCAATTTACACATCTTTGAGAGAGTTGTATATTTTATTTAAACACCATATTTATAAAATTATTATGTAACATCTTTTTTAAAATTGACTATATAATATAATACGCATATAATTAAAAGTTATAAAAATTGTTATGATGCGTAATATAATTTTGTTAGAAAACATTTCTATATTTTTTTTATAACAAATAAAAATGTTTGATATTTAGTTGGTATGCATAAATATTGGATATATAGAAATATATTTCATTTATAAGTAATTCTTCATTGTTTAGGGCGGTTTTCCAGGCTTACCCGGGTAAACCGGGCTCCCCTCTGATCCCTTTTCACTTTGCAGTCCTAGGCATCGTTATTTGTAAGGCCCATTATTATGTTACCTCTTATCCACCATTACTTCATCGATGTGCAACTTTATCCAATTATCTTTCGTTCAACATGCTCCACCCAACTCATTCTATTTTCATCACCGCTCCAATCACTTCTATTTCAATCCTTTCTCACAATATCTTGCTTGTTTTTCTCTTTCTCGGAAATATACCACACCACATCCATCTAATATACGTTTTTATTTGTTAGAATAGACGAATTTCTCGGAACTCTTCCACATGTTTATCACCCTTTCATAGCAGAATTAACTACGCTATTAATACCTCACACGTGTTCTACAGATAAAAGTCCTCTTGCTATCATCAGGCTTCCATTCACACTACAACATTTTTATGCTCTCATTTCTGGTTCATTGAATCTAGTAACACCATTTCCACAGGCCCAGGTCGCTCTATCTTTCTTATTTCCTGATTCTTCGCTTCTTATCATCACCTTAGTCTTTCCTATGATCACGCTTAGATCTTTTGCTTTCAGAATTATATGTCTTATGGTTATCTTATCCTTTAACTCTGTTTCACTTGAAAAAGTTCCCATGGGAGATTTCCAAGTACCACTCGTCACTATTTATGATAATAGTGGACTCAAGATTGCTCCCTGATGCATCCCAATTCTCGTTCATTGTCATCACTGCCAAAACCAGATATTCTGCAACATCTTATATTCTTAAAGACCATTTAGTAATCTAGCGCAAGACCATGTCAAACGTTTTCAATTATACAAAAGCCTAAAAGGGCATTTTCTTATCTTATATTTGCCTTACCACAAAAATCGCACTCGTAGTTCCTTTAGGCCGCATTCATAGTGGAATTAGATCCAACACGATAATAGCTCATCGGTTGTTAAAATCGGTATGAGAATCAATTTTTCTTTATTAATACCAATATTTCTTAGGTAATTATCATGTATAGAATTAAAGATAAAATTAATGTTAATAAAGAAATATTGATCTCATAAATTTTAAAAATCGATCAGCTGTTAAATCGCGTCGGATAGGATCCTACTACGAATTCGGCAACATGGTGTAAAACGAAACTGCATATCGATTTTCACTTGATCTCGGATTCTTTTTTCTAACATTATCTTGAAAAATCTTAGAGTCTAATCTCAGCACGAATCTAACGGACCACATTTTCCCTTGTAGATAGAAATAACCACGTTTTCCCGCAGTCCACGGCGATTTTTTTAAAATTGATTTGGTCAAGATCGGTCATCTATTCCACTCCATTCTCTATCGCTGTCTTTGGTAGTTGCTTTACCTCTTTATCTTTGAAGCTTTCTTCCCTAACATACAGTCAGGATCTTCTGCATTTGTATTTTTTTATATCTAAATATTTTTAATAAATTTCAATATATTAAATGTATAATAAAATAATTTGAAAGGTTCATATAACTTAAACCTTGGCACATATTTTCTTCTGTTCTTTCTGACACCTTTAACCAAGATTTCCTACAATTAAACGAGACACTCATTTATTTTAATGTACTACGATTGCTTCTCACCATTAAAAAATCACTACGTTTCGCATCGCCGGACTGATAAGTCACCAATTTCTTTTTATCTTTCTTAAAGAGCGTGTTACAATACCACCATTGCCATGTCATCGCTACTAGGTCTGCTTTCAACATACTATAACCCTTATGAATCCCTTCATATCCTTCAACGTGTCCATTTAAGCCGCTGCCAAGTATAATCACCTAACATTCGATAGTTTATTTAAGACATTTTATCATCTCATTAGAATTCCGCAAGGATAACATTCTCCGCACTCCTAAATTTAATAAAATAGCGTATAAAATATTTCCTATTTGGGCCCTCTATTTGGAATAAGGACTATCGAATATTTAAAAAGATATATAATACGGATATTAAAATTAATATATCTACACCTGCAAAGTATCAACTTAAAAAATAATTAGTTTACACATTAATTTGGGTCTATCGTAAAAAAAATAATTATTTGTGCATTTAAATAATCGATTCTTCATTACAAACCTGCTAAAAACTAATTTGGAAATATTACATGGAGTTATATACATTTTATGAATGAATAATTATTTATTAAAATTAAAAATGTGTTATTTTTTTGTAACAATATGCTAAATCGCTTTTCCCATAACTTAATATAGCGATGCTCAGCTCAGCTCAGTATGAAAGGACTGTCCTTAAGCCGTCTCAACGCTTGGATTATATATTAAACTTTTTCCTGTTTAGCTCTTAGCTATTAAGCCTTTGAGCTTTGACTATAATAGTTGGGTGATTAGTATATTTTTAGTCATTTAAGCCAATTTTTAGCCCTAAACCAAGTTTTTAGCCGAAAACTATCACTATGGCCTCGCGTTTTTTTTTAAAGATAGCAGCTGAAATTTGGAAGAAACTGATAGGATTTTCTCCAGCACGCGCCTGAAGATTGAGCCGTATTAGCCGATGTTTAGGCATAACCCAGTCATAACTATTACACCCTATTCTGGTTTATTTTAAGATTGTACATTAATAAATATTTGTTATTTATATATTTTTTCGGTATAAATATAACGAATACGTGGCAAATCATAATAGCATTTTTCTTTTTAGGCTATTTAGAGGAAACTATGGTTAGACAGACGGCTGTTTAAAAATAATTAGAACGTTGACACGGCCTTAATACTTTGTGTGTTCACAAGAACCTATTACAATTATCATATTTAATTGCCCCCCCCCCTTCCCCCCATTTTTTGACTTATAAGTGTTATTGATGTGATTGAAGTCTTATATAGATTACATGTGTATTTCTTTTATAATTAGGAAAATATAAATTGGTCAATTATAATTATATTAAATTGAAAGATTTTTCTTATAAATAGTGATATTGAAAATATTTAAAAAATCGAAAATGTAATAATTATTTTTACTTTATTATTTTTCTGTTAATTTTCTAATTGTAATCATTTATTTGTACAATTAGAAAATAAATTAATGATTAATTAAATACTTATTTAATTCCACTCTATAAGTATATTAGTTTAAATTTAGAAACCACGAATAAATATAATTTTTTTATAAACATATTTTCTACCACATTGATTGTGTAGCTTCCCTTCCACTCCATAAGTATATTAGTTTAAATTTAGAAACCACGAATAAATATAAAAGTATTTTGTATAAACATATTTTCTACCACATTGATTGTGGAGCTTCCCTTCCACTCTAAGTATATTAGTTTAAATTTAGAAACCACGAATAAATATAAAAGTATTTTGTATAAACATATTTTCTACCACATTGATTGTGTAGCTGTAAAAGTATTTTGTAAAAACATATTTTCTACCACATTGATTGTGTAGCTTAGGGGGTTACCAATTCTAAGACCACTGATTGATTGATGAAAAAGTACGCATAACGATCCCGCTTATTTCTCAATGCTATAATTGGCGAAGAGTATTAGCACACATAATCGAGTAAAAAACCTAAAAAAGGACTGGATTTTATGTGGATATGCACATTTTTACTTTACACTTATTTTACGTCACTTTAGTTATTGATAATTATTTTCGATAATTTGTTTTGATTAAATTTGACCATTACTATTTCACAATAACGTGCTATACTTTGACTTACATTGGAAAATAAAGGAAAGATTCAATATTGGTATGTATTGTTTGCTGTGTACATTTTTATTTTAGATTCTTTATCTCAAAAGTCCTTCACATTATCATCGGACCGCTCTAAAATATAGGATAGATTCTATATTGACAAGGATTGCTCATTAAATTTTAGGTACTCCTATTTTAACTGATTCCTCTACATGACAATGGTCATAGCTATTCTTTATCATAATCCAGAGCTAGTCGGTTCACTAAGCAGTCTCTAAGATTTTCAGTGGATGCAAACCCCACTCAAAAATCTATGCCTACCCTCCTCCCCCCCCCCTTTAAAAAATTCCCGATATCTTCGGTAGCAATGTTTTTACATTCTTAATTAAACCCTTTTAATTATAGTGGTACTCCTTTCATGCATGATTTTAAAAAGAATAACTTACATTATTTTAGCTCTACTTCAACTATCAAAATATTGTGAATATAAGTTATTTTTTATTTTTTTAGATCATGAATTCAATTAAAAATCCTCATTTACAATGAATGTATTATTATAGAATATTGTTTGGCATGAATATGAGTTTACTGAGAATGCCTAATCCTTTTAAATTACATTTAAAAGGATATGTCTATGATTATTTGCAATATAGATTTGATTGATAATCAGGAATATCATTGTATTATAATAGGTCTATATGTATTAATTTTTACAGCAATATATTTTGTCCTATTTCCTACCTACCATTTAAAGGCGCCCACCCCCTCCCATCTCAACAAAAATTGCCTGCAAACTGTTCCTACCCTACCCGCTCATGTAGACGTCACCTCTTGTTCCCTTCACATCCAGAATCTTATTAATGATATATCAAATATGACACTTTGATTTAATTTAATCTCGTCAAACTTTATATACCAGATAAGATATAAAAACATTAAATATTTTTAAAAATTAGGATATGATAATGGAATAATGACTTGTATTCAAAGTTGTAAAAAAAGACTTTATCATTTTGAAATATTATATCTTATAAAAGACGTTTTATTCCCTATCGATTTAATAGGAATTATTTATAAGCATACCAATGTAATACCAAACTCTACTTATTGTAAACCGGTTTATGCAAAAATATAATTTAAAAAAAAAATTATATTTA